GTGGGAGAGCTGAAAAGTTAGCCAGGTGGGGTCCCAGGTCCCACTTCCCAGGATGGAGGTAGTTTCCTGTTTTTCTCTCCTTAGGCGTCCTCCCTTCCCAGAGGAAGAAGGGAGCTGCCCTATTCTGGGGGTGTCTCTGAACATACCCCTCTCCACCCTGGCCCTCCACGAACTCTCATGAGCAGCAGCCAGTTGGCTGAGGCTGTGGAAACGGATGGCGATGAGACAGAGGCAGTTCCCAATTGATCCTGTGCCAGCAAGGCATGGCTACCATACAGTGTGGACTAGGGTGGGCCCTCCAGCCAGGCCACAGGCATACTCAAGGTCAGAAGGTGGGAAATGGGGAGGGTAGTGATAAGTGTTGGTCAGGAATGTCCAGTGGGGCCTGTGCTTATCCCAGGGAAATGGGAAACTGAAGCATGAAGCTAAGTGACTAATAAGTGCTAGGTTAGTAGTTGGGTGACTTCAACCTCAGGAAATTAAAGAGAGTTGAGCCTTTTAGATCTCATGCAACAGTGAGAGGCCACAGCCTAGCTTGTAGCTCAGAGCGCATGAGTGTGTTGTTTAGCTCTTCCTCCAAGTAGAACATGACAATGCTATCTTGAGCCAGAACAACTGTGATCACCCACTTACTTGGGACCCTCATGAAATCAAGCCATTACCATTCCCTCATGGGTGGAGCAAGGAGGCTCTTGGGGCTCACAGAGTTTTCAAGAGCTCTTCACTAGGTCCACCCCTTCCCAAGATTATACAGGGAGTGGAAGGATCCTGGGGAGTTGGAGAAGGAAACCCTTCAATGGCATAGCTACTTGCAAGTCATCTAGGAGACTCTCTAATGGTGCAGCTTTTTCATGAGCCATCCACACTGCATGTAGGATTCTCCATAAATTGCCCAGGGGAATTCCTGGCAATATAGCTGCCTATGGAGTTACCCATGTTCCTAAAATAACCATAATAAACTCATTGATTCATCAACCTGAACTTGCACAGACTCCATCCTTAAATTTATTACTATCCTCTCTATCTGGAGTCACACATGGATTGTGGTGATGTCCACATTGTCAAGGAGCTGCTCTTAGAGGTAGGACTTGTAGATGGCACAGAGGTTGGGACTTAACTAGCACAGTCCAGGGAGAGCCAGGATACTCTATGAGGATGGAAACAGTACCCAAGCTATCATTGTCAGGGGTCTCTCTTTCCAAGGACATAGACCATTCAGCTGGGCAAGTACCTCTTGATATGGGAAAAAATTGTATGTTGACATCCTAAACACTGTGAACTCAGATTGCATTTGGAGAAAGGGCCTCAAAAATTATTAAGGGCTGGGCAGTATTGGCGTTTAATCCCAGAACTCAAGAAACAGAGGCAGGCGGATATCTATGAGTTTGAGGCCAGCCTGATCTACAGAGGAAGTTCTAGGACAGCCAAGGCTACCCAAAGAAACCTTGTCTCATAAAAAAAAAATTAATAAGGACGTTGGTATGGTGGTACACACTGGGAGACTGAGGCAGGAGGTTCAAGAGTTTGAGGGTAACCTTAGCTATGTGAAAACCTGCCTCAAAAATTTTCACCCACCAAAGATGTGCTTAGGGTAAGTGAGGTCACCAGGGTGGCCCTAACTCAGGCACTGAGGACACAATGGGAAGATGATGTCTATAAGCTGAGAAGAGGGGCCTCAAGAGCAACCAGCCCTACAGAAACTCTGGTCCTCGCTTGCAGCACCCATGACTGTGGGAGACCACAACTCTATATATGAGGTACCCATTGTGGAGCAATTAAAATGGGAGGTGGAGCAAACTGACCCACCTGTGAAATAGCTTTGTCTGCTTCCAGGCAGCAGCTCTTAGCCAGGCATCACTGGGGAAAGAGAACTCACAGAAGCTGTGGTTACATGCTGCATACTGTGTTCTCTATGTAGCTGATTAAACTAAGGTTTTCCCCAAACAGTGACTATTCTGCCTCCAGACTCTCCACAATGGGAACTCTATGTGTCTGCTAGTGTCCAGGGAGTCTTTGAATGTGACAAAGCCTATTTCTTGACTTGAGTCCCAGGGAACTGAGGCTCCAGAAATTCAACAACCACCTAAGTCATTCTGAGCTAGTGACTCCCAGGTTCATTGTCTCAAAACTGATTACAATAAATAAATAACCTCGAGCAGAGCAGAAAGCCAAGCAAAGCTTTATTGAGGTAGACAAGCAGCTCCCTACAAGGAAGAGAACTCCAAAGTGAGTTTCTAGTTGACCTGGACTTGGCTGGGTCATTTTCATGCCCAATACTTGAGTCTGTTGGCTCAGGCCTGTAACTAGGAATTGAATTGAGAGGCTTCTGCATAGCTGAATTGAATGAGTGTGGGAACTTTGTTTGGGTGGGAGATAAGGCATAGCGTGAAGGCTCAGGAAAAGCCCACCAGGAGGACTGAGGAAGAACAGGAAGTGAGGAGAGCAAGAACATGTGGTCAGCCATCTTTGAAAACACAGCTCCCAAGCTACACTTCACAGGGAAAGAACTTGGTTACAGAAGCCCTGTGCTCACAAGACCCAGTCCAGCATTGGTGTGAAGGAATGCTTTTGAGCTAGACTTTCAGTTTTTAACCGATTTTAGTTGGGTTGTTTGTTTGTATTCTGGGTCCAGCTTCTGCATTCACTGTTCACACATCTGTGGTAAACCTGCTACTCTGCTGATGCCGCCTTGTAAACCTTGAGGCCTCTGCATAGAACCCACTGAGAAACTGGCTCTGCCAGTTGCCCTCCTCTGTCTAAAAAGGAAACTACCTTACTCTATCTCTCTCACTAGGCTGGACCACAGGCCTAGATACCTGTCAACTGTTATGTTGTAATTTACAGTTGTTCACATACTTCATTTAAAAAGTAGCAAACCTTCAATCCGAGCACTTGGAAGGCAGAGGCAGGTGGATCTCTGTGAGTTCAAGGCCAGTCTGGTCTACAGAGTGAGTTCCAGGACAGCAAAGGCTACACAGAGAAACTCTGTCTCAAAAAGAGAGAGAGAGAAGAAAAAAGAAAGAGAAAAAAGAAAAAAAGGAACAAAGAAAGAGGGGGAAAAAGTAGTGGAGAACAGCCTGAAGGCTCCAACACTAAAAAAAAAAAAAAAATTACAAAATGAATTTCTAGAGACAGGCACACCAATAGCCTGCTCTGACCATTACAAGCCATAGACACCTACCGCGTTATCAGACTCTATATGCTTACCAGTGTCAGCAAAGAATAACTGATTAAAAGTGATGTTTTGGGTGTGTCTGGGAGAGTGTTTCTCTGTGAGATAAATGACATTTGAGTCAGTAGACCAAGCAAAGTCGGGTAGGACTTGTCCAATCAGGTGAAGGCCTAACTAGAACAAACAGGTAGGAGGGAAAGAGCTGCCCCTCCCCCAGCAGAGTCCCAGTCTCCACTCTGCGATGACATTCCAATAACCCAACCCCACATTCACAAATGGCTTGTAACAGGGATGCTTCCCAGCAGAGGCACCATCAGCCAAGTCCCCTGGACCCCACTAGACCCCACTCTGAGAGACATTGCTTTGGGCTGGATTTACCCTCCCTCCTGAAGCTCCATGCCCAACACGGCCTTCTGTGATTTCCTAGGGATAAACCTCACTCAGCCTGAAGCAGGAGCTCACCTAGAGGTGAGGGTCAGCTGAAGCTCAGCCTAGACTAGGCAGGGTTCTCCTGGATGCCAGATGCGCCAGGGGCTAAGATTCAGCTGAGGTCTAGGTTCACAAGAGGTGGGGTTCACCTGAAGGCAGGGTTCACTGGGAGTGGGCTCTCTTGAGACCTGGGAACAGGTATGTGGGCTCCAGAAGGAAAGGAACTGGGCCTGCTATGTCTGACTCCAGGCACGCTGAGGTTAGACTGAGGCTGAACTGAGCCTGGCTCAGGGACTCCAGGGAGGGATGTGTAGCTGGGAAGAGCAGTGCTGTCCTGGTCCTCATAGGCAGCTGGTCACCTGGAGTCTGCTCTGAAATGGCCCCTGGCTAAGAGTGGCTTGTGTTGTCCTATCCCCTGCTCTCCCACACATTTATAAAGTCAACATCCCTGTCCTGACCAACACTACACCTCCAGCCCAAGATGGACCACCTCTGTCCCCTGAGCTGCAGGCTGACCTTCTGCCTGACTGTTCTTTGTTTCTGACATCTGTGTGCTCCACCAAGCCCTACCACCCAACCCTGGCATGCTGCCTGGCACCAAGTGGCACCATCATAGGTCTGATGACCTCCAGGGTTTGGTCTCCAGCTTTATTCTCAAGCCTATCCCTGAGGAGGGGTCTCCTCTTCCAGTCTCTCTGCAATTAAATTATCTCCCCGCAATGAACTATAATGAATACATTTCTGAATGCTCAGACACTGACCCACAACACATAGTTACACACATGCTGGTCCACAGTGACCATCAGACATATAAGCACACATATATACTCAGCTGTAAACAAAAGTTAGTTTTACTTTATTTCATTTGTTCTGAAAGTTGGCTTTAAAACAGGGGGAGGGGCACAAAAGATGGGGACAGGCTCCCCAGAGCTCTAATTTTTTCAACATGACCAAAACCATAGCCCTGGACCACAGCCTTGTGGATCTCAGCAGCAAGGCATGACAGAACTTCCAGGATGTTCTAGAAATGGCCCAGGCCAGGCTACCTCAGCTCAGGGAGAGGAGGCTGTACTCAGCCCAGGTCTCCTTCAGGTCTCATTCAGTTGCCACAAACAGGGAATCAAGAGCTGGGAGTAGACCAAGGCTGTTGTCTGCTTGTCCCTGACCTGGGAGCTAGCTGGCTCTGTAAGGGCAGAGGTTGGGTGGGTGAGGAATCCATCTGCTGCTGTAATGAGGATAAGCACAGTCCCCAAACGGTTCCTGCCAGACACCTCCATCCTATGGGGAAGCTGCAGGAGAACCTAGATGGAAGGGCTGGCAGGTCCAGGGAGGGGTTGTCCTGCTTAACAGCCTAGTGGGACAGTCCCGAGGACACAGCTCTGTCCCATCCCCCCCCCTCAGGGGATACAGATAAGACCCCGGTGACTCCCCTTCCCATCCTGCAGGGAGGTTCCCAGCCAGTCCCCTTTAAGGGTCTTCTGCTTCCTCTTCTAAAGGCCCCTAAGGGGATCTGTCAGCGGCCATTGGTTGAAGACAGAAAGATTTCCATTGAACCTTCATGCCAGGCACTCCCTGAACTCTCCCCAGTGCCTTCAGATCCACACTGTGGCCTTGCCATCCCTGCTGCCTGTACTGCCCTTCTCAGAGCCAGCCCTGGCCTTCGTAGCTAGCTGTTCCTGAGCCCCGGGCCGGCCCTGCTCCCCAACGGTGCCCCCTGATGTGGCACTACCGGTTCCAGAAGCTGGGCCACCCGCCCTGGGTGCCCCCCTGGAGGCTGCATTGAGCCCTGAACATGGCGGGCTGTCCCGATCCACAGCCACCGCCGCCGCTGCCGCCCCATCGCGCAGTGCCTGCAGGGCCAGGTTAGCCAAGTTCTGGTCGTGCGCCCGCGCCCGCTCAGCGGCGCGCACCACTAGGCTGTATTCCGGAGGGCAAGCCAGGCCGGCGGCGGCGGTCGGGAAAGCGCAGGGTGGCGGGCGCGGCACGGGACCAGGAACAGGCGCTGAGGCTCCCCGACGGCCGCGCACAGCGTCCTGCGCACTGCCGAGGCCCAGGTGAGCCATCTCACAAAGGTTGAGCAACAGGCATAGGCAGCTGACCACATACATGACCAGCAGGAAGACCGTCTTCTCGGTTGGCCGCGACACGAAGCAGTCCACCACGTGTGGGCAAGGTTGGCGGCTGCAGGCAAAGAAGGGCGGCACCTCGAAGCCATACAGCAGGTACTGGCCCACCAAAAAGGCCACCTCGAAGGCCGCCCTTACCACCAGCTGGGCCACGTACACGCGCATCAGGCCCTCCCTCTGGATGCGCCGCCGCCCGTCGTGCTGCCCGGAAGGGCCAGGAGTGACCACCGTTTTGCCATCACCTCCGCCCCCCTTGGCAGCCACATCCTCTGCGCGCTCCTCCTCGGTGTCTTCCCCAGGGCCCTCAGGCGCCCCGGGCTCCTCATCCTCTTCCTCTTCCAGCGCCAGCATGGGCTCTGCCTCTCCCAGATCAGTCGTGTCTGGCCAGCCAGGAGGTGGCGGTGGCAGCTGCGTCCTGGGCACACGCCGGGGGCCAGAGCGACGACGGAGGGCGCGTCTGCGCTCCTGCTCAGAGGCACGCGCCAGGCGATGGACTGCATAACCCAGGTACATGACCGAAGGTGTGGAGATGACCACGATTTGGAAGACCCAGAAGCGCACGTGCGACAGGGGAGCAAAGGCATCATAGCAGACATTGTCACAGCCCGGCTGTCGCGTGTTGCAGGTGAACTTGGATTGCTCATCCGAATAGATAGACTCACCACCCACAGCCGTTAGTACAATTCGGAAGACCACTAGCACAGTGAGCCACACTTTGCCCACGAAGGTGGAATGATTGTGGATCTCCTCCAGCAGTCGCGTCAGGAAGCTCCAGCTCATGTTGGTCATGGGAGCGAGCAGGTGGGACCTACAGGCATGTATGATGATTGGTGGTGAACAGGGGGTAACTGGCAACTGCTGGGGGGCCCAGAATTGAGGTGCCTGCAGGCTCATCCAGCAATTGTGTCCTACTTACACACGCCAGACAACCTGGAGCTCATTACTTTGCAGAAAAGGTCTTCCTCATCTGTATCCTCACCCTATGTGCTAAGGATGCGGACAGAACATCTCCCACTGAACCCTGCTCCTGCCCTTCCTATCTTCTTTCCTAAGGCTTTCCAAGAAAGCTCCAACTTGTGGGAGTGCACCTTTGTCCCTGGGACCCCAGCCAAAGAGACTGTGTGCTGCCTTTATTGGCAGAGAGGGAAACCGGGCAGCTCCAGTCCAGCTCAGCTCCAGATTGGATGCCACTCTCTTAGGGCTTACCCTAAGGCTGCCAGGCACTCAGGCCTTCACAACCTCTGCTGCTTCTCAGACCTTGTGGTCAGAACAGTACCCCATAGTCCTGAGGGGCCCCATCTCCAAACCATACATACATACCTTTTGGCCCCAGCCCTCCCCAATGCTTTAGTTTCCAACTCCAGCCTTTCTCCTTCCACACCCTGCAAGCAGCTCTGGAAGTCTCTTCCATAATTGACCGTTATCCTCCCCAAGCCCTTTGCTAGTAGTCTTATAGCACTTAGCCTGTCAGCTACCCCTCCCACTGCTCATAGACCATCCAGGCTCTTTATCCAGCCCCAGGTCCTAATCCCCTGGACAGTCCCAGATCTGTCCAGGAAGGACTACTTCTGGTGAGGCTACAGACTGATACACAGCCACACTTGGTCACCTGTGAGCCTCAGAGATGGCGACATCTAAACCAACTCATTCTACAACAGACATGTATCAGAGAAGGGCTCTGTGGTTCCTCAATACCCACCCTCCCTCCTCACAGCTACCAGAGTTAGTACCTGCTCCTGAGAAGGTTTGGGGCAGGAGTTCCCCAAGCATTCAACACTGACACTCCAGGCTCCCTCCCCCTGGCAGGGCTTAGGTGGTAGCAGCAGCAGGTATGGACCAGCATCAGGAGTGGTGGCTCCAGGCCTCTTTATGTAGCTAGGGCCTCTCCCCTCAGGACAGGAAAAGGGGGCAGCCAGCAGGACAACAGGGGTTCCTGAGGAAATGCCCCCATATCCTCACATCTGTGAATCCCCTCTTGGGACCACATGTAGGCAATCAGAGACACGCAAATCCCCATGCACATACACACATGCACACGCAAGTGTGTGTGTCTGTGTGTTATATATGCAAACATTCATATGCAATACAACATACACAGTTATCTTCATATGCACACAGGTACACATAGACATAATGTATACTCATATGCATTCAAACATAAATGTATACACAAAGATGTGTAATTCATAAATATACATGTGCACACACATGCTGGCACACATTCATATATACCAACACTTGTATACACTTATTTAACAACTCAACCACTCATGTAAAGAATCAAGACATATATCCAAATGCTCATTCATAAAGAGTGAGCTCACATGACCACTTACACATGCACACATAGGAATACATGCATACTCCCACAGCAAGAAAGAACCACACCCACACATGCACATTCACAGGCTGTTACACCTACCTCTCTGCCTCAGCTATGGACATGCAGTGGGGCTACCTAGTGCCCTCTCAGGAGTAGATTCAACTCTCTTATCTCAGCTTCAGTCTTAGCCCCCACTTGAGACCTCAGTCATAGGAGCCAAAGGCTTACCAGCAGGATCTGAAACCAGCAGTTCCTGGGTAGACCTGCCTAGCAGTGTGTAGTATTTAACAACTGGATCTCTGTTAAAGCCTTGTTTGGCAGCTTGCCATTTCTCCAGTATACCTACTCCTATGTGAACAGGCAACAACAGAGACATTGAAGCTTGGTCCTGGGATGACTTTGGTCCTGGGCAGACAATGGGACTTTGCTTTGGAAGGACCTGTCATTCAATGCATGTTTGCACAGTCACAGCTATTCACTCCTGAGCATGGCACTAAGAAGTGCTGTGGTTGTAGAGTTGCCCTGGAAAAAAACAAGAGCCCTGTGCTCAGGCCATATACAGGGAGACTTCCAAACTTGAACCTCTAGCCTGTAACTCTTTCCTGCCTAGCCCTGGCACTGGGACACCAGTAGACGCCTCTCAATCTGTCCTCTAAAGTGACTTCTCCACCCTTGGATTACTTTACTTGAATTGCTGTCTCCCGCACATCTTGGGTCCATCAGTAAACCTTGAACCCCCCCACACTTGCCACTTGCACCAGCAGGTCACTGGCCCTCTAGTCCCAGCTGCTTCCCTCTTCCCTATAAACTTGGCTCCATGCCCACTGGGGCACTTTAGAACACACACCGACCAGATTACCCCTGCTGCCCTTCAATGGCTTTTTCTAAAGACAAAGTTTCATATGGCACAAGCAGACTTCAGACTCCTTATGTACTGATTTGTAAGAGTTAAGATGACCTTGAACTCTTCATCCTCCACCCTTTACCTGGCAAGTGCTGGGATTTTTAGACATGTGCCTTGCTCGGCTCCTCCAGTGACTTCTGACTAGGACACACACCAGGTTCTCACCTAGCCACTTCACCAAATGCTCTGTCCATTCCTCAGTTGGCTCCTTCTACAATCTCACCTGCTGCCTTTCCCTGACTGCAAACACAACCATCCATCGTACAAGTTTTATAAACAGAGAGAAAGAGAGAGAGGGAGAGAGAGAGAGAGAGAGAGAGAGAGAGAGAGAGAGAGAGAGAATTTGCACCTGTGCACACTCATTACTCTAGCCTGACCATCAGATGCTTCCCAATCACTATAAGGGTTAATTTTCTGACACCATCTATGTGCTAGGGACTCCAGGATGCATTTGTGTTTAGCTTGGTAAAGGCAGGCTCTGAGAGAATACTTACAGACACACCATGGAAACCTGTGACGTGTACGTGTGCTCTGGTTGTCCTTTGAAGGGCCCTGACTGCATAAATTTTTGAGTAAGAGCATTTTCTGAGATGGGTATGTTCATGCTGCCTATAATTCTAGTACTTTGGAAGTAGATGTAGGATGACCAAGGTTTTGAGGTCACCCTCTGCTACATGGTGAGTTTGATGCCAGCCTGAACTACACTGAAACCCTTTTCTCAAGCCCCAGTTACAAAATAAACAAAGGACCTATCTAGGTCCCAGGCTCTAGTTTCTAACTTCTCATCCAATGAGAAAATGGGAATCGCTGGGGGAAGTAGCTGATAGATGGCTAGTTAGAGGAAACGAGCGTGGAGCAAGCTCAGAGGAAGAGCGTGCTAACACACTCATGAACATCGATTGATATGTGGATTGGTCACACTAAGCTGCAAACATCTAACCAATACCCTAAGTAAGATTACAAGCTGCAGCTTTGGCTATAGATACCCTAGATGACAGCAACTTCATGTTGGATCCATGTATCCAACACAATAACCAGGCTGAGGAGAGAAACATCCCCTGCCTCGGTGCAGAACTACCAACCATTCTCAGAAACAGTCTACATAGGAATAGGAAGCACACACGCCACTTCACTGGTTGCATGTGGGTGGCAACATCAAATCAGAGGGACTTGCTCATTTGCAGTGACACCTGAATCAAGGCAACGTGACCATTAAGTCCTGTTGACACCATCTATAAAGATGGCTCATCACCTTTTCAGTATTCTTCCTGAAACCCATAACCCCATCAAAGTAAGAGAAAACACAGGTCATTTTCTGAGAGGGGCACCCTACAAAATACTAGGGTGGTGTTCAAGTAGCCATGGGTAAGTAACTAAGACAAAGGGACTATATTCCAAGAGGTATCCTGGTGTCAGGAGGAGCCAAGGGAATGTAAGAATCACCTGGATTGTGACCTTCAGCTAGCAAAGGCAGCACTGGTAACGTTTCATGCTAATGGGGCCTGGGGTAGTATGATGTCCTCTGGGTACTTTTCTGTACTGTTATCCATTCTGTTGTGACTTTGAACATGTTGAAGATACAGCACCATCCCCAGCATTCACAGGAACTCCTGTCCCAAAGAACCTCCTACATTTTGGTCTAGAATTAGGCCCTGTGGTGGTGGTGATATGCTTTACCTTGGGGTGTCACCCACACAATACATAGCTCATTCAGCCCTTGCCTGTTCTGGAAAGCCTCTCCAGGTATAGGAGTGGTATCCCCTACTGTAATCAGTTCTTTCATATATCCAGCCCTAGGCCCTGAGCCCTGAAGTTAGCATGGTGTGTGGCCCAGTGTGTCAGTAAACATGTGGCCAGTAACTTAGTTTGGTGTATGTGTGTGTAGGGGAGAGCTTCTCAGTTGTCCCTCAGGGCTATCAAGAAACCCTCATGAGGGGCGCAATGATAGTTACTGTGGCCAACGAGCATTAGGTCTTGGCATACCAGGTCTCAAGCCCTAGGTATCCAGTAGAAACTACCCACCTCCTCCCCCTAGGACCTATGGAACCTCACCTGCCTCCTTTCCTCACTCACACCAGAGCCACCCTCCTGGGAGCTCAAGCAGGCAGCACTACCTGAATAATATCCAGCTGTAGGAACCAGAAAACTAGATGGGCCAGTCTGGGCCTGGTATGAAAGAGTCACAACTCTGAGTCTGGATAACTCCTACAGGTTAAAAGCTGCCTTCAGCTAAACTGCATTCCAGAAACAGAGATGCTGGCCTGGGTAGGCACCACCAGAATCTACATGGCTTCATTTGGAATTGCCCAGGGAATACATTTGTGCCCAATTCCTTGTAGAAAGTTCACTCACCCTGATCCTTGTCCCTCCTCAGTCCTCCAGCCACATCCACCAGCCCCTCCCACAGCTGAGCCAGGTTCCCCTGCCCACCTCTGTGACTTATTCCCTAGCTGGGTCCAAGGAGCCTTCCCCATACAATAGCAACTCCAGCCAATAGGCAGCAGGACCTCCTGGGGAGGACCCCACCCCATCCTTGAACTTGGTACCTCTGGTTTTGGCTGCTCATCCTCAGATCTCCCTCTCTGCAGTCCCTGGACATAGCAGGCAGGCAGGGAAAGACTTAGAACAAACTTCTGTGGCATCAAGGCTTCTGTGCTAGGGACAGGGCCATACTAACCCAACAGCAGTTGCACAGGTTCAGCTGCTGAGAGGGTGTGCTTGGCAGCAGGCAAGTGGATAACAAATAAGTTTGTTCAGTGTGAGTAGACTGGGCCTGGTGCCCATACTGATCCCCTGGACACAATGCAACTGGCTGAGGTAGACTGGCCCATCTTACAACAGCCTGAGGGGTCTCAGCTGCTGAGGGAGGTACTGAGTGTACCCTAGGCTCACCAGTTAGTTCGTCTCCCCCTACCATGGGTGTAATTACCCAAGAAGAGCCGAGAAGCCAGCTGGACCTGAGCTGATGGATACCCCAAGGTCCCTTACTTAATACAGGGTATTAAGGGTAGCACTGCCTGTGACACCCCCTCCCATCCCCCAGAGCCTGAGAGGCCAGTGAGGATACGGAGCCTGGGGAACTCCATATTAACCATCAGAGTATGCACCAGACAAGGCCTGGCCTATCTGCAGCCCCAGCAATGCCCTCCCTACCTTCTCCAGGATGGAAATGCAAGCCTCTGTCTGAGCCCTTCCACCTGCCGGCTGGATGCTGGTCCTCACTGAGGGCATACTGCCGGGCTAGGGCCACCTCTCACCACCAAGCACAATGGGGGGTGGAGGAGAGGCCCTCAAGGGCTCCATTGTTCCCCCCAGGGTCTGAATCCATGATTGTCCCTGGGGGTGGAGCAGTGAGGAGCTAGACAGGCCCACTGGGGCCCAGGCAGGTCCTGGCCCTCCTCCTCCCTGGCCTCCACTTGAGGTCCAGAAAGTTCTGGCTCACCCTTCTTGAGGAACATCTGCACTTTTGGAGACAGCCCAGGACTCCCCAGTCTCTCGGGTTACTTCTGCTGAGTACCTACCTGCCCTTTTCACACCCATATCCACCTAATCTGCCCAAGTCCTGTCCCAGGAGCGGCCTCACCTGGAGATGCACAAGGGAGAGCTATGGCTGACCACCGGGGTGGGGGTAGCTGGCAACAACCACTGCCCTCACTGCAGGGATTGCTCTCTTGGGCGGAGCCCGGCAGCCTGGGCTGAGAGCCCAGAGGAAGAGGGGAGGACAGCAGGACCAGATACTCAGAATGTCTCATCTTGGGCAGGAGGGGAGGGACAGCAGCCCTCAACTTACAGACTTCTCTCTCAGGAATGCTACACCCCGCTGTAAGCTCAAGCTCAGAATCTGGAACCTCTACAAAGGCCCCAGGCTCTGCCCTCTACTAGACAGACAGAGTCCACTTGCCCTTCCTTGGGGCTTGGCTGGCTATACACAAGGACAAGAGCACACAGCACCCAAAGGTTCAAGGGCCAGCATTATGGGCCTCAGGATTCATGCTCTTCTCCTGTGGCTAGGCACTTTCTTTCCTGAACTGTGGTGCCTGTCACTCTGGGTACCAAATGGCTCAGAAACAGCTCAGAGGCAGCAATACCAGGTTCTCTAGGGCTAAGCCCCATTCCAATCCATGCTGGCTATCCCAGTCAACTGGCTCTAAGGTAAAGAAGTGATCACAATCAATCCTAACCAGCATTCTGATGACTGGTGGACCCATCAGACGCCTATGCAGAACCCCCTTGGCACCCTTCATATGGGCTGACCAGATAGGAGTGGGCAGCCAAGGGTCATAGGCCCAGTGTGGAGAGCTCTGACACTAACCCAATAGTTACTTTATTAGTTTGTCAGTCCTGCTCCAGCAGGAGAACAGAGATAGGGACAGGGGCAGCCCTGGGAGAATAAATGTGGGTGCATTTCAGAGTCCTTCAGCTTCAGCAAGCCAGCACAGGATGAAGCGCCACCATGAGGCCAGACAAGGGGCAGCTCCTCCTACTCCACAGTGGAAGCCTATTACAAGTCCTTGGTGTCTTGGCAGAGATCACCCCACCTCATAACCCAGGCAGATTTGGGGCACAGGTATCACTCTGGAATGAAGCAGGCCCTCAGGCATGGCCAGTTCCCTGAGCTTTCTTGATTTCCTGCCAAGGAAGAAGGAAAGCAGAAAGTCAGGAGAAGCAGGGAACCAGGGAGGGTTGGGTCTCATAGCCTCCCCTGGCCCCCAGAGACTCTTGGACTTTGCGCTTTGACTTGATCAGTCTGGCAACTGGCAGAGCCTCAGCTACTTCTAGGACAGCAAGGGTGTGAGCTCTGGCCTCAGCAGGCTTTGTTGGACTCATGGGATGGCTTGTGCAGGGGACTGCCCCAAGAGAGGGACCCACCTCAGAGAGTGCCTGCTTCAACGTTGCATAGGCTTTATCCAAGTTGTCATTGATGATCACCAGGTCAAACAAGCCAGGCTCCTTGCCTGGAAATGAGACAAGACAAGGGTCAGGAACACATGGAATTTGGCCCCTTCCGGGCTTACAACACTGAAACAATCTGCTATCTGACTATGGCTACTCTGCCACTATAGTAAGATGGCCAGGGCTGGTTGGAGTTCTTCCTTCCCTTCCTCTAGAGAACCACAGCTGGACTTGCTCCCAAGTTCTAAGTAGTAGAGTATGGACCGTTGCCCCTCCCTAGGTCTCTATTTAGAACTGGCACTGCATGTGACAGGCTGCTGTATGCACACAGGGAAACAGCAAAAGGTCTCAATGACAATGTCTGAATGTGGGCCAAGCTCAGACCCAGAAGCAACAGCACAGCTGCAAAAAAAGATGCCTACAAACTGTCAAGTCAGTAAAGTGTGGCTGGTCCCTCAAAGGCTCTGCAGACAAAGAGGTCTGGAACTCCTCCATCTTTGCCCTTGGTCCTCCCTGTCTACTGATGAATGGGCTGGCCACATGCTCAGAAGGTACAAATGGTCTGACCGCACTCACTGCTCTCCATGTCAGCCCGGGCAGCTGCCAGCCGCTTTGCCAAACTCTCTTCAGTCTCTGTGTTGCGCAGCCGCAATCGTTGCTCCTGAAATGCAGGCCTTTGTTGGGTCAGTATTCTCCAGGTCTCAAGGCCTGTCCTACAGGTCTCCCCACACCAGGTACTCACCAGCACATCCAGCGAGGGAGGCTGCACAGAGATGTAGATGGGACGTAGATCAGTCTTCTTGATGTTGCGCACACCCTGTAGGTCAACATCTAGCACGCAGATGCGGTTCATGGCCTGCACAGCCCGTACAGCCGCCTTGCTGGGAGCAGGGAAGAGCAGTGAGCAGATATTCAAGGGGACCCAAGGGATGACCCTGGCCCTTAACCCTCATGAGTTCTTGCCTACTAAACCTCGAACCCCGGTAGCCTTCCAGGGTTCCAAAAGCTTCAAAGAAACTCAGCCCTTTCCTTTCCAAGGCCCATCCTGGGCCCGGCCTGGGCAGGGCACAGGCTCAATGAACCCAGTACCCTCTGCATTTCTCAGAACATCCAAGCATACCCTTAGCCCTTTCAGGCCCTCTGACAGCATAGTCCTTTGTGCCTGTCCTGCAGCCAAAAGTCAAAAAAGTTTGGGCTTTTGGTCAGGCCTGAGCTGTCTCTCACTGCCTACCTCACCTATGTCAAGTATCTCATATGGCTCCTGCCACACAGGATGACTTGAGGATAGATGAGCCTGGGGCATGACTGGGCCTGCCTGCCCCTGGAGCCTATTAGCTAAGCTCAGAGACTAGGGGGAAAGCAAGCCATCCCAGCCTAGGCGGGAGACCGGGAGGACATCATATGACAGAGAGGACAGGAAGGAGAGCTTCCTTCTGCCATACTTCTGGGATTATCCTGATCCCTGATCCTGGCCCCAGAACAAACTCAGCCCACCTTGTCCCATAAAGGTTCCCCGAGAACTCAGCATGCTCAATGAAGTCCCCTGCCGCAATATCACGCTGCATCATCTCCCTGGTCACAAAGTAGTAATCTGGAGAGAAAGAGGACTTTTCAGAGGATACCCAAAACCCAGACCTGCCTGGCCTGATCCCTCTCTCCATCCTGCACAGGACTGCTATAGCAGATTCAGGCTGGAACAGACACCACTGTCCCCACTGTCCTCACTGAGGGACAGGAAAGTGGGACATCCCTGCCACACTCCAGGCAGACAGAAGTCCAGCCCTCACTCTGAAGAAGATACACAGACTCTAATCAAGTCACTAACCTGAAAGCAAGAGATACTCTCCTGCTGGGGACTGAGCTGTTACAGCCAAGGCACAGAGCAAACCCCCCATGGCCCCTCACCGACCGCCCACACACACACCAGCTCATCCATGAGACCCGTGGATCAGCAGGCCAGCTCACCTTTGCCATTTTCCTCACCAGGTCGTGGATTCCGTGTAGTATCTAGGAAAAAGATCTATCACACACTGAGGGGGTGGATGTACAACCCTTCTGCCCTACCCAGGGTCTCCCCTTGAAGGCCTGCTCAGCTCTCTAGTTGTATAGCAGCAGGTGGTGCTCATAGCCAGTGAAAAGCCCACACCAGACAGATCTCAAGAGGTCGCTGGGGCCAAGATGCTTACTCTAGATAGAGGCCCTGGGGAGAGGGTAATGGGGTTGAGGAGAGTGAGGAGAGCGTCTCCTAGACTGGTTTTATATATATGTGGAACTCCAGGAGTAGACCAGTGCTGGGATAGCCTCTGAGCTCCTTGCCCTTCAGGGTCCTGGGCCACTCACGGGACACGCTGAAGCCAAAGATGCTGCCATGTTCCTGGAGCAACTTCTTGAGCAGGGTGCTCTTCCCTGCACCTGATGGCCCACTCAGTACCACTGGCCTAGGTCCTGCCATGCCTGTGAGAGGAAGGGCACCAGACATGAGAAGTCCTGCCCTCGCTGGTACCCTGGCATTGTGCTATAGGAGGCAGTGGCATGAGGGACTCCCAAGGGCAACATCCCCATATAATGAGAACCTTCCTCACAACAGCAGTCAATCGGCAAGATGGTAAACACAGGCAGGAAGGCCAACAGGATTCCAACATCCAGCCTCACCCACACCCAACAGGATGTCCACAGGCCAAGTGACCCAGAAACAGACAATGCGGCACTCACTGGTCCCACCCCATATAGGCTGCCCTCCAGAATCTGACCTCACACTGCAGCCTGGGCTTTGGTGCCCATAAATGACACCGTCCACTGGGAGTTCCAAGTCTGAAAACAGAAATTCCCTGCCCCTGTCCCTATAAACATGGCATCCTCAAGTCGGTTCAGTTCCAACCAGTTTGGAAAAAACTTCCCACTGGATGTACAACCTTCTTTCTGACTTGTCTGGGAAGGACAAGCTGCTGCCGAGAGTTGAAATAGCGCCCCCTGGCCTCCCAAGGGAAAAGTGAATGCGGTTCAGGGATGGACATCGGCTGCGGGTAGGGGCTGCTGCAAAGGAGCAGCTGCTGTGGTGGGTATGAAAGCATAGCAGAAACCTCATCCATCACAGTCTGATCTGGGACCTGAGCCTCCTTCCTTTACTCTGTTGGCATCACCCTAGGACCACCTTATCTCACCTGCTCCCAAGCTCCCTTAGTCCTCTTCCTCCCACCAGCTGGTCTCTAAGCAGGCCCTCATGTACACAGCCAGGACCCTGTCCATGATGGCCTTCCTGCCTCCCCAGGATGGCACCCACCTGCTTGATGTGTTGCAGTCTCGGTGGTTAGCCTGGGAAGAGTCAAAGGCTGCTCTACACTGAGGGACAGGGGACTAATCTCTACCAAGCCCATACCCCGCCCTTCTGAACAATAAATCCCTGGGGCACCCAGCCCTGCCTGCAAAGAGATCAATCAGCCCTGTTCTTCCACTGTGCAAGAAGGAAAAGGAAGTTATGTGTCCTGCTCCTGAGACCTACACCTGTCCAAGTAACCAGAGCAGCATCTGCATATACTGGCAAATGAGGAAGACTCACCACAGGGCTGAGACCTGAGCTGCTGCTCTCTTTTGAGGTTGAGGGAGAGGGAGACCACCAGGAAGGCATTTGGGAGCTGGAGGGGCTGTCTGCCAACCCAAGTACCTTTGGCCTGTAAGGTTGAGGCCCCACACAATCTCTGGTCCAAAAAGCACAGGCTACAGGAAGGGCATCAGCTTAGAGAAGTCTTGTGTTCTTAATCCTCAATGTAGGCCACGAGATAATCTTACAAAATCATGGTTGCTGGTATTCTGTCACCCACAGGAGCACGAGCACATGCACATCACACATGCATATTGAAAACACACACACACACACACACACACATTTAACACGCAAGCACATGTCCTTGAGAAGTACATAGGACCATCTATCAAAAAGACATAGTAAGAGGGACCTAGGGAAACTTACTCAGTATCACCAGTGCTGCCTCTCAATAAAACTCTGCTCCCTTGTGGCTTTCTGCCAAATGTGTATGAGCCCAATCACACTATCACGGTATGCTATTTTCTGTCTGGGCTCGAGGCTTCACCACCTTTTCATAGACATCCTCTTCCCTAGTCATTGAGCCCTGCTGCTTCTTCCACAACCTAGCCTTAGAGTGTGCGTTACGAGCCACACAATGCAGCTCTTACAAAGCTGTCTTCTGGTCTGCCTGCTGTATCAGGAAATCAGGATGGAGTCCCCTGACTCCAAATTCTCTGTGATGGCCACAGGTTGTGACCTGCAGCTGCCAACATGGGTTCTACATGTACACATTCCAGATGGAACTCTCTGTTCCCTTGAGCGTAAAAGGAGCTCAAGGCAGTGCTCACCATGGGGCTTTGTAGGCTCGGTGCACACAGGTGTATTCCTGAGACTGAGAACATAGGATCTGAGACTTACAGGAGGACAAGTATCATGATGATGGAGAAGATAAAGCTAAGAGAGATGCTCCAAAGTGCGTGAGTTAAGAAAGCTTCTGAGAGCCAGATAGTGGTAGCACACACCTTTAATACCAGCACTCTTGAGGCAGAGACAGGTGGATCTCTGTGAGTTCAAGGCCAGCCTGGTCTACAATGTGAGTTCCAGGACAGCCTGGACTGTTACAGAGAGAAAGCCTGTCTCAAAAAAAAAAAAAAAAAAAAAAAAATTTAAAAAAAAAAAAAAACAAGTAGGGAAGAAGGAAGGGAGGGAGGGAAAAAGGAAGGAAGGGGAAGGAAGGAAAAGCAAGCAAGCAAGCAAATAAGCTTGCTTCTGAGAAAAGGATCCCAGGTTGAAGAGCCAATAAAAGGACATGCATGAGGGACAAGCAAGGGTGAAACAGATCATCTGCCGTCCCATCAGACAATGGAGCAGTCTGTACTTGCCCCTCACTCTATACCCTGCTTCCAACTATAAGTAATGATGAGCTAGTATCATCCAGATTCCAGTCTCACATTGCTGGAATTGTGGGAGCCCTCACTTAACCCCAACCCTTCACGTTGTAGGCCATGACCAGATACAGTGAAGATGGACACCGGCATGCACATGCACACACATTTGACAGCTGCATCCCTGCTGAACCAATTAACCTCTCAAGCCCAGACTTTCAGGAGTGTGCAACTTCTGTACTCCTGGGGCTGAACCATAAGAGACAACAAGGCACAGGAAAGCAGGTCCACCCTGTTGGCACCTTGGTTCTGAAGAGTGCTAGTAGGTGTCACCTAGTACAAGCAGCTCGTGGATCTTTGCTAGCCCTGGTGACCCTCTATGATACTACACTTGCTTGGATCTACACAAACCACACCAGATGACCCTGGCTAGCTAACTGTGTGGTACAATGGAAGACAGCAAGCCCAGTGGTGGCCTGGCAGGGTCAGTATGGAGGGGCAATAGTCAGCAGTCAGGTAACCAGGCATTTACTCCATCTCCACAGGGCTTCAGCTATTGTCAGAAACTACAGATCTAGTCTTTGCACTAACATTTACAGAAGTTTGTGCTCCTCAAGGCTACTTACTTTGAGGAGACCACTGAAGAAACATTGGACCCCAATCTCTTTAGCTCTTCTAGTCCCAAATGTCACTTCTTTAGCACTTCTAGTCCCAAAGAGCCCCAAGCACTAACTGTAAGACAAGCCATGATGCAAGTAAGAGTTCCACAGGAACACTGGGAGGGAGCATGCTCTGCTGAGACATTCCCCAGATACAACTTCCTACAAGGATTCTTCCTGTCCTTACCTTAGACCCCCTAGGACTAGAAATCTGTCACAAACCTCTCCTGTCACAGGAAGACACAAACAGCACCAGGCAGATATGAGTGACACATTCCAGCCCCAGAATTTAGGAGCTTCTTCCAACAGTAGCACCAACAAGAGCAGCCAAAGCATTTTCACTGTGATTCCTCTACCTGAGACAGATGGACAGACCACAGCCTCTCAAAGAAGTAAGGGTGGAGGGTTAGCAGCCAACCATGAACAGGCTGCTGCACCCTCCTGGCACTACCCAACTCCACTGTGTCTCTTCCCATCGAGGAGAAGAAAGAACAGGCTGAATCTTGAACAGGGTCCTGGATGCCATAATCATGAGGCAGAGTGAACATAAAAAGGGTTCAGAAACCAAGGAGAGTAAAGCGGAAAGACCTGGGACATTGCAAGATTTGTCATCTACTCGCTTGTATAGAAGGGAAACTAAGGAAACAGGGCCAGGGAAGACTGAGGGTAGATGAGGCTCACCCAGCAGGCCCAGAGAGAATGGGGTTAGGTAGGGCAAAGGACACTAAGGCCCAGCACATGTAGGGAATACATGGGTGGGGCAGGGCTGGGGACCAGCACATGCAGAGTCCGGGAGGATAGGAGATAGGGCAGGGGAGACTGAGGTCTACTGGAGGAAAGGCCAAGGCAAACTGAGGACCAGAACATTCAGGACCAGAGAGAATTGGGACAGGGTGTGGTGGGGAAGACTGGGGCCCAATCAGAAGAGTCAGGGATGCTGCAAGAAGTCTTCCTCCTACAGCTGCCTTCCAAGAGCTCACTCTCATTCTTCCTTCACTTCTTTGTTGGGTTTCTGCCTCTTCTTCAAATTACCTCAGCATGTTTTCTGGATATTTTATATGTGTCAGGACAGAAGACAAAGTTTAAGTGTGGCTGGACAGAAACATACTGCCTCAAATTTACTACTCCAGAAAACTACTGGTGGTGTCCCATCCCACCCCACCCACACACACACAAAGATCCAGCACTGGACCAAGGAAGGCCAGGCAAACCGCAGCAATGGCTGATGCAACAACCATTGGAATGTAAAAGTCTAATATGTAAAGGCAGAGGTAAACTGGGTAGACAGGAACTAGGATAGCAGGAAAATCTGCTCCTTAATGCCAAAACAGGAAACCGCCTTAGTGGTAGCTCCCAGAACTAACCTATGACTCCTGGAAGGTGATCTGGGGGAGCACCCACCTCCTTCCTTCTCTCCTTGAACCCTAACCAAGCCTGACCAATCATTTATTTGCTTTCTCCCTTTCTCCTCAGGTACCACGTAGCTAATGTCACCTGCTCCTCCTCCAGCCACTACCAGAAGGAACCTTCTCACTCGAGACCGTTTCCCCCGCTCACTTCCACGTTGGATAAAATGATGGTGGGAATATTAATCCCATAGGCGGTTTCAGAAACCCCAACCCGTGACAGGCCGAACCCTAACATTCACACCCAGGCGTCAGAAAGGGCCTGCATCACTTGCAGACACCGAAGTCCAGCATCGGCAGTGATGGAGAGGTAAAGCCAAGTGCTTGAGCCTGCCCTGGATGCCCAGTGGGCAGGGCGCCGAGAAGGGGCACCGGCGAGGCTCAGGCTGCGCGGATTTGCGGACGGCTGGGACTCCACGTGCCTATCCCTGTCGTTCTGGGGACCCGGAAAACACGTTCACCAGGTATCACCATGAGAACAAGGGTCATAAGCAAGGGACGCACGCTGCCTCAAGTCCCGCTCCTGGGGCAGCCAGCCGTCAGTAGTTCAGCGCACTCACCGTCCGCACGGATGCGACCCAGGGCGGCCACTGCCAGCCCGACCAGCGGGCGCTGCAGCATCAGGGACCGCCCGCAGAACTACGTCACAGCGGCGCGCCGGCCCACTAGGCCACACCAAAGCAAGGCATCGGGTGCGCAAAATCGGCAGCGCCGGCCACTTCCCACCCCTGACCGCTGATATTGCGTCACCCGACCCGGCCACTCCTTATTGCCCCCTGCTGGTCAAGGCCACGGGGCTACGTCGCAGCCGCGCGTTGGTCTGCGAGGACCAACGGGAGGAGCAGCGCCGCACTGCTGCGCAGGCGCAGTCAGGCCCCACCGCATTCCACACTTTTCTCCCCCACCCCCAGGCTAAGACCTTGCCTGCCCACAGAGAAGACCCGGAGAGGAGCGCTTTAAAAGTCTGGGGTGGGGGGCCAGAGGCTGGAGAGATGGCTCAGGGGTTAAGGGCACTGACACCTAAGGACCTGAGTTCAATTCCCAGCACCCAGCCAGATGGTGGCTCACAACTGTAACACCCTCACACGGACATACACCAATACACGGAAATATCAGTGAATCTTACCCGTTACAGCATAAATCATGTGGCTGCTTCCTGCCAGGTGACTGCACTCCAAACTGTCTTCTTTGCCATTCTCCTTCCTTCCAGGTCTCAGGTCCCAAAGAAACTCAGGACAAATGGCTAACTGTGGTGCCTATCAGCAAAGTGCATGCTGGCACCCTGGCTCCTGCCTGCTCTTCTTACTCCTGTTCCCTACCCTAAACCTCTCCAGCCCAGGGGCTTCGCTTCCCCAGCTTCTCTGTCCTATAAAACCTGCCATTGCAGCCATACTACTGCTGGTCATGTTTAGTCTACTACTCCTCTCCCTACTCTAGACCCTTCCACATGCTGTACTCTCCCTCACAGCTACAATAAAACCATAACTTAGAATGGACATGTCCTCATTTTTATCCAGTAGGAAACTGAAATTTATACCTTGTCTGCCTTGTGAATTACTTCTAAACTGTAATGAATTCTCTGTCTTTGAGCCTTTGTGTTAGTTCTCACCTTCTATTAATAAAAATAAGAACTCCAACAGGATACACTGATTTCCCAGGTACTGTATAACGGCTCTCCCAAGACTCCTCGATATGTCCAGTAACACATCTTTGCCATCAACTCTTTAAAATTTATGTATGAGTGCTTTGTCTGCATGTGAGTCTATGCACCATGTGTGTGCCTGGTGCCCTTGGATGCCTTGGGACTGGGGTTGTAAATGGTTATCGTATGGGTGCTAGGAATCTGAGTCCTCTGGCAGGTAGTGCTTGTAACAACTAAGTCATTTCTCCAGGCCCCACTTCTGCCTTTAAGTTCTTTGACAGAGAAAATTAACCTGTTCCTGAACCCCCCCCCCAAGATGGTATCAAAGCCACAGAGTAGGGCTGCACCTAAGTTCCCAAAAAAGTAGTACCAGCATCAGTGTGTGTGATGCCAGCCATCACCCCACACGGACTGGAACCAGTCACACTGTGTGGGTTGGGTAGCCTAAGACTATTCCCATCCTGGTGTACATATGGTGCCATACCCAGAGGACTTAGCAGTTGTCCAGATGCATATCAGGCTGTCCTTGGGTCAAAGCATTCTTCCTATCTGGTGTGGGAATGCTTAACTTGTGCCTGCCTGGCTGTTTTACCTTGGAGAATTTGGACTTGGACTTCTGAACAATGACTTAGTTAGGGTTAGTATTACTATGATGAAACACCATGACCAAAAGCAAGATGGGTTAGAAAGGATTTGTTTACTTTATACTTCCATATTGTAGCCCATCATTGAAGGAAGTCAAAATTGGGCCCAAACCTGGAGGAAGGAGCTGATTCAGAGACGTGGTGGCAGTGGTGGTGGGTGCTGCTTACTGGCTTGCTCCTCGTGGCTTGCTAAGCCTGCTTTCTGACAGAAGTGAGGACCACCAGCTCAGGGATGGCACCATCTGCAATGCAGTGAGCCCTCCCCCCATCATTCACCCCACAGGCTTGCCTACAGCCTGATCTTAAGGAGGCAGTTCCTCAACTGAGGCTCCTTTCTGACTGACTCTAGCTTTCATTAAGTTGACCCACAAAACCAGCCAGCATAGCCATCCTCGTTGTAACTCACCACTGGTTTAAAGACATGAGAAGCCAGTTTTCACACTAGAGTCCCTAAGAAGTGGAGGTCCCTACCACAGCACATCTTGCAACTTGGGAGTTCCTGTTCTAGTCCTTATCAACCTCTCAAGCAAAAAGAACCTTGTGTGTCCCTTGTGGAAAGGAGGTGTGGTGGCAGGATGCTGTCTTTACAAGTGTGGGCTTCCTGGGTACTCATTTTGCTTGGTGGAAAGTCCCTGCCTCAGCTGTCCCACCGACCAACAAGGGCCTTGGTGGCATGAGCATTTCTTGAATGCCCACTGTGGTGATACTCATTCAATAACAGATATTCACCTTCTCCCTCCCTCCCTAATCCCCCTGTCAGTATGTAATGTGCTCTCACACACCCACATATATTTTTATGTAAGTCACAGATCAGCATCAAGTGTGTCTCCTCTACCTTATCCTTTGAGACAGAATCCCTGAACCTGAAGCTTCCAGTCCTCTTGACCTCAAGGCCATAAATATCCTCAGACACTCATAAGGTATTAAGGTTTTGTTCAGAGCATGGAAAAGAAGTGACCCAGGCCCAAGCCACATTCATTCAATCCTCACATAAACTCCACATTCTGACTTCCTCTCTCAAGACTCTGGATTCCTGTCGCTCGCTTGTTTGTGGTCTCCCAGGAAGCACACAAACACTCCAGCAAGCTCCAGTAGGCTGGATCGGTGCCAGATCAGGCTTTGAAATTGCAGTGGACCAAGCAGGAAAGCTTGGTACTACTATGGGCACAGGTCATGTCTACTGTAGGCAAGGTGTTCAAGTTAGAAGCAAAATCATAGCTACGAAGAGGCAGTCTGTTATTTACCAATGTGGAGGGACCATGAAGAGAAGGGGTTTGGGGTTTTATTTTTAAATTACGTTGTATTTATTTTCTGTGGGGGGGTGTATTCATTTTCTGTATGTGTGTGGCTGGTTCTTTTGAAAAGCAGGCCTTGATAGGTGAAGTTCAGCACAGAGAAAACAAAGAAGAGCAAAGGACTTTTCCCTTTTCCTCTTCTGGTTTAAAGTTGTGAGTTTAAAAAACAGCCTTATCGGGGCTGGAGAGATAGCTCAGAGATTAAGTGCACTTCCAGGGGTTCTGAGTTCAAATCCCAGCCAAGGTGGTTCACAATCATCTACAATGAAATCTGGTGCCCTCTTCTGGCATGAAGGCATACATGCAGACAGATCACTGTACACACAATAAATAAAGAAATCTTTAAAAAAATATATATGGCCTTATATGCTGGACATGGTGGCTCACACCTTTAATCCTGGCACTCAGGAGCCACAGGCAAGGTGGATCTTTGTGAGTTCAAGGTCAGCCTTTATTTATTCTCCTTATTATCACTGTATTCAGAGCAATTTTTGGTTCCCTAATTGGGACAACAGACGGAAGAACCTCAGACAATGGAAATGAATCTCAGAATTCAGTGATAGGTTCAGTGGAGAATGGACGACACATCTAAGTTCTCAGAGCCTCGTAAACTCAAAGCAAACCAACCAGCAGGTGTGTGGTGCCCTCATTACCTGCCCTGAGAACAGAGCTTTCTTTGGACTGTCAGGTCCACAATAATGATACTGAGACTTCTTACTAATTATGAAAGTTTGGCCTTAGCTCAGGATTACTCCCAAGTAGCTCTTAAAATGTAAATTATCCCATGCATATTAATATATGCTCTGCCATGTGGCTCGTTTACCATACCTCAATACCATATGTCCTACTTCCTCCTCATCTGGCTGGCCAATCTCCCATGCCTCAGATTCTTTCCTAGAGTTCCTATATTTCCCCAGGAGTCCTCCCTATTCTTTCCTGCCTAGCCAATCCGTTCTTTATTAAACCAATCAGAAGGTGCCTTAGGTAAATGAGGAAGGACAGAGACACATCTTCATATGGTATACAAAAAATTATCTCAACATTCAGTACACTCTATTGGAGCTCACTGGTCTATAAAATCAAACATTTTCGGCAGGCAGTGGTGGTGCACACCTTTAATCCCAGCTCTTGGGAGGCAGAGGCAGGAGGATCTCTGTGAGTTCAAGGCTAGCCTGGTCTACAAAGTGAGTTCCAGGACAGCCAGGGCTGTTACACAGAGAAACCCAGTCTCAAAAAACAAAAAGTCAGATACTTTCAGCAGAACCCAGACAAGTCCTTCCCAACTATTCTGATAGTATGGCTATAAACAAGGGGAACAGCTGGCTACAGCAGGGCTCACTGGCTGATGGGAGATCGCCTGGTCTTTGTAAGGAAGCTTGAGCTTCCTGTCGGGGATCTTATAGACACCAGTTTATAGCTACATGAGTTGACAGTGAGGGCAGCTCTGTGGCCTACGCTTTATAGCTCTATATATCGATGCTTGCAAGCCAGCATGTGCAATTAGCTTGGAAGGCTTGCTGTCAGGCTGCAAAAACAAATCAAAACAAAACACGACTTCTCATTTTGTGTCCTTTGGAAGACCTCTGTCTACATGCTGGACAGCCCTAGGAGGAGACAGGTAAATAAATTGACCAGAGCAACCTAAGAGGGATGAAAAAAGGGGAAGGAAAAAGTTCTGACACAAAGACGTCAGGGGCCCAATGTGGCAAAAGCCTCTAAAAGCAGCACAAAAAATAAAATAGACAACCTTCTGCAGTCTTCCTGAGAAACTCTGGAAAGGGTCCTGCAGCCTGCATAGCAGCACACCCCTCCTGGGCTCACAACAACCGTTACCACAAGTTCAAGACGGTGGAGAGCTTCACGACCCCTTAGTGTCGGCCTACACAGGAGATACCAATCGAATGCTTGAAAAGTTGTGTCCTTTGGCTCTGGAGAACAGACTGTTCTCTAATGATACTCCTCACGGGTAACTCCAGATACTTCACGTCGTACTTCACGTCGTTTGTTTGGCCATCCCGACCGGGCGCTTGGATGTCTGTCTTCCAGACCTGGAACCCACCACGAGCCCCGAGACAAGTCGTGTACTTGCTAAGAAAAAGGATCCTATGGGCTACCATCGGCTCCGGAGCAAACCTAGAAAACAGCCAGGCGTGGAAATTTAGGATACCATGGACGCAACGGGGCCCGTAGCAATGCCGTCCTGCTTCCATCCACGCACTACACAGCGCAGTGCATCCCGCACCCGGGAAAGTCCCAGATTTCCGACCTCCTCCCGCCCACACTGGGCGGGGCCAGAGTAATGCGCCCGCCTTGCCTACTCCGGCTTCGCCACCCACAGCAATGCCGAATCAGTGCCAACCGGCGAACCTGGACTTCGGTCAGCCTCAGCCACGCCCACCTGGTGTTACCCCGCCCTTAACGGAGGACGGCACAACTCGTCTAGTGACGTCATCGCTGTGCGACACCACACCGCCACCCGAGAGACCTAGGTCATGGTGAAGGATCATGGTATACAGAGGCGGGTTCCTGCGTAGCCCCGTGTGACATAGCCTCAGTTTCCCACCTACTGAGTAAAATTCTGCACGTCGGATCTACGAGGTCCCTCCAACGCTAAGGTGGCGGCCGCAGGTTGGAGTCTCTTGGGCGCCAGCACCAACCAGCCCCATCACTGAGAGTGAAAGGGAGGGCGACTTCTGCCGTCTTGTGGGGCGAATTCGGGAGGGGGGGCTTCTCCACTGATGACGCCGGGCCTTGTCACGGTAGCTAGAGAGGAGAATGTCCCGGGCTTGGGATATTGACCAGCAGGATCGCCTCTTTAGAGGTAGCGGGCCCCCCTGTACCCTCCATTGTGGGAACCACCTAATCTATGCATTATCCCACTGGTTTAATCTTGCTGAGTGTAGGATACTCGACTTGCACCTGCTTAGACCACTCTGGGAGTTTGTGGCACTGGAGAAAGTAGCTTCTTTTTCCGTCTGTAAGCAGGCTTGATAATGGTCACCTCGCCTTATTGCTATGAAAACTGAAACGATGTTTCAGAAAAAAATGAACCAAGCACACACCCTGCACAGGGGAAGGTTCTGATTCCATAACCTTCAGGAATGGGTGAGCCTCGATCCTGCTTCCACACCTGGCTTCATATTCTTTTAGGTGTTCTAAGTGATGTAAGTCACATGAGAACCAGTGCACAGATCATATACAAATACTATGCCATTGTACATCAAAAGGCTAATAGTCTGTCAGTTTGATTATCTGTAGGAGACTCCTGGAGACAATTTCCTATGAATACCAAGGAACAACTGGATATACTGCTAGAGATGCACCTGGATCTGTCTTAGATCCAGGCCAGGATTTAGGATAATAATGGAAAAAAAATCATTTTTTTTTTTTTTTGTTTTTTTTGTTTTCCTTGCCTAGCAGGTCCTACATCTGGGCTAGTGACTATTTCCTCGTGCCACCACAACTCTAAGGAAAACAATGCCTTTGGGCAGCCTTCTTGGGTAAGCATGGAATTCCACTCCCTTCAGGTATATTCCAAGATAACCTGTCCTTTCCAGGAAGGAGCTGTCATCCCTGGCCTCAGTATTGGAAGGCTTGTTGTGCCCTGAGTCACCCACAATAGACTGCTTTGACTATGCTAATAGCTTAACAGAGGTCCCTAAATGTGAATCTTTGCTAGTGTCTGGTTGCTGGGCAGTGGCTGGCTGGCTTGGTACTTGGTGCCATCTGGCTCACCACTATCTAGCAACCAGTGTTTGCATGTCTGTCTATAGCCTACTGAGGCACTGTGCTGTGAGGGCAGCCTTTCCTGCACCCTGCCACCTACACACATCCTCTTGGAGAGCTGACAGCAGCAGGGTTTCACTTACTCGACTGCGCCGCCAGGCCTATGCTCGCCTCTACCCTGTGCTGTTGGTCAAGCAGGATGGTTCCACTATCCGCATCCGATACCGGGAGCCACGACGCATTCTAGCGGTAAGCTTCCTTCAGTAGGTACTTGCTGAGCCATAGTGTTGGGGCTCAGTGCCAGTACTTGGAATTGGAGTTGCATATGTAACTAAAGTGGAGGACTAAGGGAACAACTTGTCAGAGGAATTTACACCAAAAACTCCATTCACCAAAATGAGAACAAACAAGTTGGTTATTTAATTTTTTGCTGTGTGAGAAGGGTGGGGGAGGGGGTGGTTCTTATTTTATTGGTACAGGGTCTTAATGAAAACCAGTCCGACTTAGAGGCTGACCTTGACCTCCAGTCTTCCTGCCTCTTTAAGTGCTGAGATTATAGGCCTGTATCACCAAGCCAGGCTTAAACAAACAAACAAACAAACAAACAAAACCCACCAAATTTGGGCTAGAGTATATTCTAGTTGGTAGAGTGCTTGCCTATGAGGAACAAAGCAGGCATGGAGGAGGCCTATGAGGAACAAAGTGGCACACGTCTGTAATGGTAGCACTCTGGAGGCTGAGGATGATTGTTTTAAGTTCAAGGCATTTTTGGACTAATTAAAACTCTGTCTTAAACAAACACACACTAAATCTAGGGGAAAGGAGTAGAAAAACATTGTTTTGAAGCGAAAGCAAGGCCAATCAAAACTATAGCTAGTAGGCCAGCACAGGCTAGAAGCCACAGGTAAAAGAGGTCCGGGTGTCTTCTCCAGTCACTCTCCTGACTCTCCAATGGCATGTACATACCTTCACTTCTCCCCATGCAGATGCCCCTAGACATAGATGCCCTATCTCCAGAAGAGCGCCGGGCCCGGTTCCGGAAACGTGAAGCTCAGCTTCTGCAGAAGAGGGAGGAAGAGCCAGAAATGATTGACAGTTTTGACACTGAACAATACAAACGGTTTTGGACCAAGACCAAGAAGTAACTATGTCAGGGAATTGCACCAGAGACGTTTTGTAAGGATAGAGAATCATCTGTCTGTAAATTATACATTTTTGAAACCAAAGCCTCCAGTCATTGTTGTCTTTTCTGTAATAAGTCCAGCCCCGAAACTCATCATTTCTGGAAAGTACATACCAGCTCAAAGCCAGATTGAAAGGCTCTGGAGTTAGAACAAATCAGAGGGTTTAGGGTTCATTTAGGTCAAACCTGTGGGTTTTTATTTGTTTGAGTTTTATTCTTTTAAGACAAAAGTCTCACTCTAGTTGGTCTATAGCTCATTACATAGACCAGGCCTCACTCTGCCTACTGAGTACTGGGATTAAAGGTGTCTGTCTTAATACTCAGCTCGAGCCCCTGGGTTATAAACACTAATACAAGGTTAGTTGTGAAGTATATGGACAATGGGCAGGAAGCACCCAGCAACTAACAGCTCTACCTGCCTACCCCTAGGAACCTCCAAGTTAAACGCCTATGTCTCACATAGCATGCAGTTCTCTTTCTCACCCCTTCCCTTTACAGGTCCTTCCCTAAAAAGCTACCCTTGGGGACCTAGGAGTGTGGCCAAGCTGTGTGTCTTTTTTGTTGGTTTCCAAGACAGGATTCCTCTGTGTAGCTCTGACTGTTCTGGAACTTGCTCTGTAGACCAGGCTGGCCTGAACTAGGAGATCAGCCTGCCTCTGCCTCCTGGATTAAAGGCTCCTGCTGCCACCACCCAGCCAAGCTATGTCTTGAGCCCCTAGTCTGTTCCGATCAGCAGAATAAGTGGCCACACAAACCAGCCTATAAACAGCTGCCTGGACCTTTGTACATCTTGATGTTGATGTAAAATCCCACTGGCTTCCTCCAGATGCAAGAGTGCATATAGTACCTAACTCTTCAAAAGCTATGATCATTCAGCCCTTCATGGCTGTAGTCAGTTGCTTCAGATTCAGGTTCTCACTATAATAGGTGAGAATTCAAGGCTACACAGGCTTGGAATTGGTGTGGACACTTGTCCCATACTCTCCCAGCCCCATAGCCACACTCCCTCTTATCTTCACCTATTATGCATTTTGTGATCAGACAGTGAGCCTTGTCTGTCCTTAGCATACCTGGTCAATGGGGAGGGCCCCAGAAGTTGCTATCTTGCTTTCTGAAGATCTTCCCTGGGAAATGGTTGGTTTGTTCTTTTTCCACTGAGGCCCACATGACTGATGTTCCCTCATTTTGCAGCTCCCCTTTGGATCCATCCATGTAATACATCCATCCCTAGTGTGATCTTGTTCTGAGGGATTTGTTTCCAGCTGTGTTCTCCAAAGCTAGGAAATGAACTCAGGGCTTGTACCAGGTGCATCACAAGCTGTTGGCAGGTACTCAGCATGTGTTCAGAATAAAGACATGATCAAAAATGGGGCTATCTTGGTCTGTTTGGGATTCCAGAGAGCACCAAGTTGGGTAACTTTTCAGACTAGAGATGGAACTCACATATGCTGTCCTTCGGGGGGGGGGGGGGTGAAACAGGATTTCTCTGTGGCTTTGGAAGCTGTCCTGGAACTAGCTGTTGTAGACCAGGCTGTCCTGGAACTCACAGAGATCCACCTGCCTCTACCTCTGCCTCCCGAGTGCTGGGATTTAAGGCGTGTGCTACCGATGCCAGGCTCACATAGCTTTTAATCGAAACACGTGGGAGGCAGAGGCAGATGGCTTTCTATGAGGGCCAGCCAGGGGCACATGGTGAAACTCTTATCTCAAAAACAAACTTGGAGAGGTTGGCCAAGTTGCCTCTGCTGAGTAATTCGGGAAGAACTGGAAACCAGGAAACTTAAGGCAGCCCAGAGATTGAGTGCAATCTCATGACAAAGCTTGTTTTTTTTTTTTTTTTTTTTTTTTTTTTTTTTTTTTTCCACCTCCTTTGATAACAAGAGTTACAAATTTACAGTTCTGCAGGGGAGCCTGCTTCACAGGCTAGTGTGCTCAAGGTTATATAAATCACAACAGTGTTTGTCTTCAGAAAATCAGCTGAAGTATAGGAACATCATTTACCCTATTACATATACCTTTAGAAGCTAAGGAAGGTCCCAGGCATTCTTGTGTTCCTTCCCACATTTTTTGACATTCCAAATTCCCTTTTTGAGAAATATTAACATGGGATGTTCCCATCTTCATGACAAATTTATTATATCCTCACATAACCTTAATTCAAACCCCAATACAAACAAAATAACCTCACCACTCCCTGAAACAATCAGGAAGCCAGCACTATTGAGTTCGGACAACAGATCTGTTCTTGCTTCTAGACAGCCCGCATCTCATCTTATACTCAAGAGGCTGAAGGTAAGAGAGTTACAGGGTTCCCTTCAAAAGGGAACTACTCTGTGAGGTTTTACCTCATTATCTCAAAGGCCCAGTCTTCAAGAACAACCCTAGTGAAAGATTTAAACATGACAGAGGGCTAAGACTATAATGCAGAAAAATTGCACTCATTTAAGTTTTAGTCCAGACATCGACTTAATCGTCCATTGGCTGCCAGTTAAAACTAATGATTCTTCCAGGGCCAAATGACAGTGCTAAACCTATATTCAAAGAAGCTGAGTTACTCTTTATTCTCGGTCATGCCCCATCAGAACAAATGCAATTAGCTCTATTCTTTGTACTTTGTCAATAAAGCAACCTGCAGAGAACTCTGGTTTAGGGATGCTTGGGCTCTGTGGCCTTTATCTCACTTTCGTGACACAAGCTGCCACCCAGTACCCAGAAGAGTTGAAATGTGTTTCTTTGGGGGCTTTATTCGCCCCTCATTGTTCCAGGGAGTTTTGCCACTATTGTACTTCGTCTCAGTTAGTTAGCACGCCTGCCTTTCGTCCGGCCGTGGCCCCTCCTGGTGTCACCAAGGTTTGTTAGCATCCCAATCCACCGAGTATCCAAACACGAGTGTGACGCGTGAGACCGGCTCAGCAGCCGTTTCTTCGAGGAGCTAGTGCGCAGGCGCATGTGGTAATGGGAAGAAGACGCGCCTGTGAGTGAATCACTGTCTGAACACCGGGTGGAAAGAGGCAACTCGACTGAGGCTGTCCGAGCCGCGCAGGCGCACGGACACCTTAGTGAGATGCGCAGGCGCGCCAGTGACGTCACGGCAAGCGTCCGGAGGACAAGTGGTGCGGGAGTCCGACGCCCGGGGTTGCGGGTCCTGGAGATTGTGTAGCGGCTCCGTCGCCATGTTCGGCTCCAGTCGCGGCGGCGTGCGTGGCGGGCAGGACCAGTTCAATTGGGAGGATGTGAAGACCGACAAGCAGAGAGAGAACTACCTAGGCAACTCGCTGATGGCGCCAGTGGGCCGCTGGCAGAAGGGCCGCGACCTCACCTGGTACGCGAAGGACCGCGCACCGTGTGCCGGCCCGAGCCGTGAGGAAGAGCTGGCGGCCGTGCGCGAGGCGGAACGCGAGGCGCTGCTGGCCGCATTGTGAGTTTTTGGGCTGCGGGGCGACTGCGAGCACCAGGGATGGGATCTGGGTGGCACCGGGGCGGGGCTAGATGTAGGCAGGGCAGGGGAGGAAGGCCACAGGGACTTATGCCTCTTGACGTGCACCCTCGACCCTCGCAGAGGTTACAAGAACGTGAGGAAACAGCCCACCGGCCTGAGCAAAGAGGTAAGTCTGGGATGCGGGTTCGGGGTTCGCAGGGCGAGTGGGTGTCTATCTGTATCGGCCTAGAACCTCACCCCACCCCCGCTTCCTCAGGACTTCGTAGAGATCTGCAAACGGGAAGGAGGCGACCCTGAAGACAAGGGCGTGGACCGGCTGCTGGGCCTGGGCAGTGCCAGGTGCGGTGGATTGGGAGAAGGGGGCAGGACTGGGCGGTGGTCCAGAACTGTTCTCAATGCTCTGTCTTCTGCAGTGGTTCCGCAGGCCGTGTGGCACTATCCCGGGAAGATAAAGAGGCTGCCAAGCTTGGGCTGTCAGTGTTCACGGTAAACTCTATCAACTCAAATGTTCAGGATCCTGGGCTTGGGGACTCCTGGGGAGATGTGGGGCGGGGCTCCCTGGATGTCCCTCCCCACAGCTGCACTTCTCATGTAGCACCACCGCGTGGACAGCGAAGGCCCAAGCACCACCCCATCTGCTGCCAGGAAGAAGCCTCGTGCTGAGGACAAGGCTGATCTGGAGTAAGTAATCTTTATTCTGCCTACTCGTGTGTGCGCTTATGAGTTTATTGCTAGCATTCTATGTGAGTTGTGCCAGGTGGGGGCACACTGCTAAGAGTGTATTCACAGGAGAGACTGGGTGTTCAGGCCCATAGGTATATGGGGAAGTTGAGTGCCAGGTCATTTTTTGATGGAGTCAAGCACTGCCTTAGCTCTTTTTGGCTTTACTGAAGCTGTTGGGCCTCTGCCTCCAGGCTGGATGTGCCTGCCCATCCAGATGCCCAAGAACCTGAAAGTGGCTGCCATTGAGAGCCAGCAGGGTGATGGTGCCACTCAGACAGGGCCATGATGTCCGCCAGTTTGATGGGAAGTGGAACAGTTAAAGTATGAAGTTACAAGTGGTGGTGCTTGCCTTTCTTTAATCATAGCACTTGGTGGACAGAGGTAGGCTGATTGTGAGTTTCCACCAGCTAGTTTCCAGGCCCTGGGATTTAGTTGTGTGTCTGTCTGGTTACTTCTACTTTTGTGTCAACTAACCTTTGTACTTAAGTAAAACAGTGAGTTCCAGGCTAGACAAGGCTGCATAGCGAGAATGGGGGGCACCCAGGTTGGCAGCATTCCAGAGGGGGATGGCAGCATTCCAGAGGGGGATTTAGCCTGTGGATTGGATGAGGAGCCTAATATAAGCTCATTTACTAATATAAACCAACAATATGTAGACATTATCAATGCACAGTGCTATGGTATAGACCCTGCTCTATTCTGACTTGCCCTACTCTGATGAGACTATACAACTGGTTTCAGCTGGCAGGCTCCAGTCCTTCAAACTTAGACCATTTATATACTCTCTTGCAGTACAGAGAGCCACAAGAAAAGCAAGAAAGAAAAGAAGAAAAAAAAGAAGAAACACAAGAAACACAAGAAGAAGAAAGACAAAGAACACAAGAGGGAGACTGACAGCTGCCCATCCTCTCCTTCTCCTCCTCGGTAGGCTAGGCCCAACTCTACCTTGGGGGCACTAAGGAAGTGGGAGGCAGAGCTGGTCAGGCCTGTTAGGATGCTTGGCAGGGTGAGAGACCCTTTAAGTGTCTGGTTGTCCTTGTCTTCCTAGGCCCAGACACCAGAGACATGATTCTGACTTCTCCCCCTGCTGTAAGAGGAAGCGGGGACATAGCCAAGACAGTGGAAGGAGTCCATCCCGCAGACGACAAGACAGAGGCTCTGATGACTGAGAATGTGGCTAAACCAAAGGACACCAGAACCTTGGTTGCCCTGAACTGGGACCCTGCCCACCACCAAGCTCTGTGGGGGTCTATAGAGTAATCACTGGATGCCAAGTGGCTACCAGCCTTCTCCCTACTTGCCCAGACTAACCACTCCATCCCTGTCTGGGATAAGGCAGGTGGCTGCTCTCTGATAGGATTCTGAGTTAAGCTTGTTGGACCTTAGGATATATCTTGCCATTTGGAGGCAACTTATGTGGCAACTACTCCATGTTGCTGAGTGGGTCCTACGTGACCAGAGCCCAGTGATTCTGTGATTTACCTTGCCTCCATGCCAAGGAAGATAATACAGTTGCCTAGGAGACTAAGGCCAGATTCCTGTTTCTGCCGCCACAGTCCAGGCCCTTAAGGTTTATGGGTGTGTGTGTGTGTGTGTGTGTGTGTGTACATCTGGTTACTTCTACTTTTTGTACCAACCCACTTTGTACATAAGTAAATGTATTTTAAAAGTATAAAGTGTAACATCTCACTAAGGGCAAGTTAGGCTGGGAGCCTGTGGCCCCAGCATGGGGTGTCCATCGAGTATACCTGAGGGCACTGGGTCTAGAGACCAGAATCCTGTCCTTGAGGCTGCCTTAAGCCCATACATATGGCCAAGGAGTCAGAACAAACTTCTTTCTGTGAATATGAATACATCTGCAACCTGCTCAAGAGGTCCAATCTGGTTCCTACTACTAAGCAGAGGCAGTGGGTTTCACAGCCATATAATAGTAATTTTAGAGCTTGTGTACACATGTGGGCAGACAGTAGAAATTAGGCTGGATTCCATATAGCAAGTTGTTCTCTTATTGTAAAGCTATACATGGTGGGTGTGTGTCCTTTTGGGCAGACCCCAAAGTGTCCTGAGACTCAAGCTATGACTGTTCGTTGACCTGTGCTCTGCAGGTAGCCACCTAAACACAAGTGAGGATTAGTTATCTAAAACACCACCTCAAGGGGGTGAAGGTCTGTCCTGAGCAGGGACCCACTCAGGATGGCAGACTTTGGATCTCCTAGTAGCCACACCTACCCAGAGATATGTACCACCCCAAGGCAGGCTGCCTATTGAAGTTGTTAGAAAGCACTCTGAGGCTGGTAGTAACTGGGCGAGCTACCCAGGTCTTACTTCTTCCAGGTCATGCAGGGCATCTGTTTTCTCTCGAATTAAAAAGGGCTCTCTTTAAGAGGCAGCCTGACAGTGGTGACACTGATACACAAGCCCATCAAATAGTTAAGAGACTTTATTCTAATAGCTATAATTACAGTGCTTGTCGAAATGAAAACTGAAAACAAGTATACAAAACAGTTGATTACTAATTGTGTATTGAAAGCAGTAAGAGGTTCCACAACACCAAATAAACCAGTTCTGAGATTTCCCCAAGATAAATTTAACAGCTCCAGCTTCTTCAGTGTTTATCAAAATACAAAAGAAAAAAGTAGAGGTCGTCTTTCGATGGCAAATCGGACCCTTGCAGGCTGAGGGAGAAAGCTACTTCACACATGGAGATGGGGGTGCTCCAGGATGTGGGTCTGGAATGGATCGACCCTCCCAGCTTGCACGCGGTCTTGCTGGTGAGACCCAGGCCTCCTGCCAGCGCGTCCAAGTGGGCCCAAGAGTAAGCTGGGTATGTAGGCTGCCATCCGGCCCGGCCACACACCAAATCCAAGCCAGGCCCTGCACCCCACAATGGCTCCCAGCCAACCCCTAGGTGACCATGTGAGCACAAGTACAAGCACAATGCTATGGAATGCAGGTGACCCAAAGACAGGCGAGTCACGGGGGCTCTACTGTGACCATGCAGCGGATGGTGGTTTGTCACCTTCTCTCCTGTTCCCACAGGGGAACAGGTGATCCGATGGACTAGCATTCAGGCCATTACTGCAAAACCTACACTAGGCATAGTCTCCGTTCTGTGTGTTCAAGTGTTCTTGTCCTGTATTTTTTTTTTTAAACTATTTTAAAAAATGCACTGAGTTTGGGTTAAAAACCAACCACCAAATGGATACTGACACCACTCTATAGCCCAATGGCTCCCGGAGGCCAGGTGCCCCTACACCCAAATCCCTTCTCAGTACTGACAGTGAGTTGATTCTCTTTTTTACAATAAAAAAGCTAAGTAATATTGCATAGGAGTACCAGAAACTGCCTCAGTGGAAACAGAAACTATTTACATTAAATAAAAACCTGGCTGCAGGCTGCGTCTGCACATGTACAGCACGGTGCGATGCACACTGTGACCAACCCATGGAGACAGCTTCTGGCACTCAGGACCACAGAGTCGCACGTTTGCCACATGAGAGGAAAGCGGAGGGCGGAGAAGAGGAAGTGAGGGGGAGGGAGGGGTCTGGTTCACTTCTGGTTCCGGAGCTGATTGGACAGCCAGTCTAGTCCTTCATAGAGCCCGTCCCCGCTGGTGGCACAGGTGGCCTGAATGTACCAGTTCCTGTGGCGTAGAGAGTGCAGCCCCAGCTTGTCTGTGATTTCGGCCGCATTCATGGCATTGGGGAGGTCCTGGGGGAAAGGAGGAATTAGTGGCAGTGACTACCAGAAGCCAGTCACCTGGGGCAGCCTTTCACCCACCCTCTCTTTTCCCTGACACAGGTCTCCATCAGGGAAGGACCTTGCTGGTGCCTACCTGCTTGTTGGCAAACACCAAGAGAACAGCATCCCGGAGCTCATCTTCAGCTAGCATCCTCATGAGCTCTTCACGGGCCTCATTCACACGCTCTCTATCATTGCTGTCCACTACGAAGATCAAGCCTGCAACAGGGCCACATTACTGCACATACTAAAAACTGCCCACCTGATCTACCCAGACTCTAAATCCAGTCCTCCCACTGGCCACAATGCTTAATGTAGCTTTATGCCCTGAAACTGGCAGGGCCACAAGGCTCAGCGAAAAGTGCATCCCTCTGAGACCACTGAGGAATTCAAGACAAGGACTGGGCCCTCACCTTGGGTATTCTGGAAGTAATGGCGCCACAGCGGCCGGATCTTGTCCTGGCCGCCCACATCCCACACGGTGAAGCTGATATTCTTGTACTCAACTGTCTCCACATTGAAACCTGGGGGCAGGGTTATAGTTGAGTACCCTTTGTACTCCAGAACCCCAAAGCCAACCCCCACCCTGGCCCTGGCATTGGCCCAGCCTCTCACCAATGGTGGGAATCGTGGTCACAATTTCACCCAGCTTCAGTTTGTATAGAATTGTTGTCTTCCCTGCTGCATCCAGGCCCACCATGAGAATGCGCATTTCTTTTTTGCCAAAAAGGCCCTTGAAGAGGTTTGCAAAGATATTCCCCATGCTTGTGGACAGGTGGAAGCGATACTGGCCAGAGACCTGGGGAAGCAAGTTATTCAAGTCCTGTTATGTGCTGCCAGCCTAGGCCTTGTGGCAGACTAGAGACACACCCACCTAGGAGTACCCTGCCCCAAGCCTTCTCCCATCCCTCCTGAGATCTCAATTCAATCTGAGGTCCCAACTGGCAGACAAAGAACCCTGTCCATTAGACTCCCTAAGCATCTAAAGGCCACATACAGAAAAGCTCCCCTTGTTTCCCAAGTCTATTCACCTATCAGGACATCTAACTACAGCTGTGTATTCTCATCTCACACTTGGGAACTGGCATGTTTACTCTCTAGAAAGTGCTTTGAGAGACACATGAAGCCTCTTACAGCCTAACAGGTCTTCACTAGATCAGAAAATAACCACCTTACAATCTCTATCCTTACTTCAAAGTACCACAGATTGCAACTAGAGAGCTGGCCACACTCTAGGCTCAATACTACAGGCCAAATGCTCCATCAGCCCCTGGTGTTAAAAAAGAAAGAATGTGGTGACATATCTCCAGGTATTTCTGTCATTCAGGTTGTGGGAGACAGTTGTTAAGACAATGTACTATCCATCTCAAGCAGCCCAAGAAAGTAGAGACCCAAACAGTAAACCAATGGTAGCACATTCCCTTGATGACCTATACAAAAGTCTATGAGGACAGGCAAATGTGAAGATTTGTTCCTGCAAGGGCATGTACACACACTCAGTAGGGCCCATTGGCAGAGCAGAAACATTAGAGGGACAATTAACTACACTGGCACCAAATTACTAGAGCCTATCAGATGTTTAGGGCTTCTGGAATGGATACTAAGGCTTCCAGGGCTCTAGTCTCGACATCTGGTGGCCACTTGTTTTTTCATCCAAATGGATTTTTACTGCATTCTTAAATGCTGAGTGTTAGCTCCTAATAGTAACAGCAAATAGTCATGGAGCATTCAGAAAGAGATGTGTCTGTGTACTACTATCCAAGGCTGCTAACCTCACAGGAAAATGAACACGCATGGTGTGAGACAGGATGACAAGGCTTCCCTGTATATTGTCCCTTTGTGTTAATGTAACAGAGTACCATAAGCTGGGTAACACATGAGCTGAACATCCCAAATCACGGCCTAGTAGGTTAGGTGTTTAGCTCTAAGATGTGGCCTTGAGCTGTATCTTCCACGAGAAAGGAATAACATGATCTCATGTGGTAAAGTGAGTGTGAACCTACTTTCAAAACCCCTTCTCAAGCTGGTCCTTATTCATTCTTGAGGGCAGAACTTTAAGACTCAAACAACTGCCCAACATTATTGCACTGGAGTTCAATTTCCTATATACAAATTCAGGAAATACATTCAGACCAGTCAATATATTCAAAAAATGAAGGCTCCTAGAAAGAAGTATAAGAAAAATATAAGGATGGCTGTAATTCGAATATTTGGGAGGCAGAGGCAGGAGGACAGAAAGTACAAGGCTGGAACATGTAGTGCGATTGTCAAAGAAAAAAAAAAGAAATCTGGGCATGTTGAGTCATGCTTGTAATTCCAGCACTAGGGAGGCTGAGGCTGGCGGAGTTTCCTCAAGTTTGATGTCAGCCTGAACTAGTGTGAGATCTTGCCTTAGAAGAAAACTAAAGGAGGAAGGAAAAAAAAAAAAAAAGGGAGGGGGTGACAGGAAAACAAGATGGGAGAGAGAAGTGGAAAGAAGTGAGAAGACAAGACAGATGGATAGGGCAGATTGACAAAACTACAGAGAGCAAACTCTTAGCTAGGCAGGAGGAGCACATGCCCTAAAAGCTGAGGCTTGCTGCCAAAACACTCTGACAATGCACTGCTGGTGGGAGGAAAAGCTCAGGCAATGCTCTTTAAAAATTCTAAGATTATGGCTCTCAAACTTTAACTCCTACCAATTACAAATAAGGAAGAATAACTAATTTCAACATGGCAAGGCATGCCCTGAGAATCCAAACCAGGCAAAAGGAAGTGAACCCAAGATGAATTAAGGAGTCTCTAGTTGCCATAGAGCAGGGAGCACACCACTTAGCTGTTTCTATCATGAGGTCTAATGATGCTGGGGAATTGAGAGCAAAAAAGTACAGGCAAAAATCCAATTTACTTGAAGCAAAAAAGCCCAACAGAAGCAGGTAGCTATCTGCTTAGCAATTCATTATCTGTGCAAAAAAATTCCACCTTCTAGCCAGATGTGTGTGTCGGAACACACCTCTAGTCCCAGCTGAAACAGGCAAATCTCTCTGAGTTCAAGGCTAGCCTGGGTCTACAAAGCAAGTTCTAGAACAGCCAGGGCTGTTACACATAGAAACCCTGAAACCTTGTCTCAAACAACAAGTACAAAAAAAGAAAGAAAAAAAAAAAAAATCCACCTTCTTTCAAAATCACAAAATGGTTATCAAGGGAGGAAAGAAACAGTGGTAATCAGGGTGTGCATAGGAAGCTGGTGAGACAAAGAGTATAACACAGCTCTTTATGTTCAGGTGCTGAGTAGAAACCAATAATAATAATATCTGTTATATGTGGCAGTGCTCACCTATAATCCCAGCACATGTAAGGTTGAGGCAGAGTTCAATAATAATCAATCCTTGGTAATAAACTGTGGGCTAGTCAAGGCTAATCTGAACTACACGAGCCCCTGTCTCAAAAAGAAAAGCACCTCCCAAAACCATCAACAACAAAAAAATCACAAGAGCACAGAAAAGGGGTACTTGGACCCTAACAAGTCCTACAGTAGCAGGTAGGCAGCACCCTGAATAACTGTGTCCAGTGGCAGGGATCTCAGCCAAATTTGACTGCATAGATGCATAACTGCCTCACTGTCCACGACTACTGACAATCCAGTGCTACACGTGATCTGACATGGTCTGCAGCTGAGTGTGCTGGGCCTAATCTGCCTTCTCTATAGAAGGGCTATGAAAACCAGTTTCTTTTTAACAAGAATCACCAAAGGGAAAAGCAGACATACAAGTCAATGATGACGTGAGCTCCAGATTTAAGACAATCAAGAACAGAGATCCCCCTGCTACATAGGCAGGCATTAATAAGCACTTCTGCACTGGCCAATCACCACCAGGGGATTTGGGCACAGGCCAAGTGAATGGTGCCCAGTCAAGGTGCTGTGACCTTCCTCCTACAATCCCACATACACGCCAAACCTGCTTTTCAGGTTCCTCTTACTCCATTAGCAGGTAGTGAAAACAGACTTCCCAGAGAGCACTTGGTTTATTCTGCCTCCTAAGCCACCAGAGGGAATACTTTACTTAGGAAGGAAGACCTACAACCAAGTGGGAACGGGGTCAAGAAAGTTCATTCATTGTGGGAGGGGAGGACAACGGTTGAAGCAGCCTCCCCTTTGGCAACCGCACTCCCCACAAGGCTTTGTCAGTAGCAGGGACTTCCAGGCTTCTTGAGTAAAGATTAGAAAACACAGCTGAGTCCACACCTACTCCACAATGATGAATGAATGCAACCTGACTGGTTTAGCAGATGAACAGGAGCCTGATTGGTGGTAGCCAGGAAGGAGGTCCCCCGTCCTCAGAAAACCTTCACTAAAGCGGACTGTGCAGTCCTGCCATTTCCCTCCAACGTCTGACGCTACTTAGAAAGAATCCCAATAGGAAGGGAGGTTTTCTGCTCTGGGCTGCAGAATGTTCCTGGAAAGGACTCATACTTACTATCTGGATGAAAAGTTGGTGACATTTTTAGAGTTTGTTACTTTTAGGGAGCTAGAGAGAGGGTAAGAACCTGCGGTTGCAGAGGACACCAGTTCCATTGCCAGTACCCACATGGCAGTTACAACCCTCCTTAGTTGTTCCAGGAAATGTGGAGCCTTCTTCTGGCCTCTGCAGGCACTTCATAAACATGATACATGCAGGCAAAACACCCATACATGTTTTAAAAAAAAAATATATATATATATATATATAATCTCAATGACCCTGGAGCACACTAATTCAGCTGGAATGGCTTAGTCAGAAAGTCCTAGGGATCCCCCCCCCACCCCGTTCCTGCCTCCCAGTACTGGGGTTAGAAGGGTGTGTGTGGCCTACCTGTGTTAAGGGGGATTTAACTCAGGTCCTCATGCTTGTGCAATAAGGATTTTACTGACTGAACCAACTTCTTAGTTTCTCCCTTTTGCTTTAAGACAAAATCACTGCAATATAAATTATATATATTTAGCTAGGCATAGCAACAGGCCTTCAATCTCAGCACTTGAGAATCAGAGGCAGGAGGATCTCTGTGAGTTTACCTACTGAGTTCCAGGACAGCCAATGCTACAGTGATATCCTGTCTCAAAATTAATTACTTATCTTCAACCACACAGAACAACAGTGTATACTCTCAGCTGTCATATTTGAGGAAAATTACCAAATCTGGAACTTTTCTGAAAAAAAAAAAAAAAAAAACCTGAATACAGTATAGAATATTTTTTTAGCTAAAGGTTTTAGTAACGAGTACCAATATTCCAACAATGACACAATCAGATACATGAAAACCTTTCTGAACCATCCCCAAAACAGGATGCCTGTAACTTAAAAAGATTTGTTTAGTCTCATGTCCAACAGGGCCCCATGTTGACCTCTGCATATAGTGCTTTTTGTGTACTTCAACAGGGATTAGGTGTGGCTGTTCCTAAAGCCTCAGGTTTTCACCTGCCCTTCAGCTAACATTCCAGGCTTGTAGGTTTGGTATGTTCATACAATCCAATACTGCCCTACATTTTGTCATTATTTCACAAAATCTGCCCAACAGGAAAACTGAATGTGCTGATACTAGGACAGGCAGGCAACTCCTGTAAGGGCAAAACTGTGACTCAATCAGCATGTTCCAGGATAGGAGCTGGAACACATGCCTCCCTAAAGCTTGTCTTCTGAGTTAAGGGAAGGGGAAACCCACCACGTCTGTTGTGTGTAGGTGGGGTGATGTGAAAAAGAAGTTAGATCACTCATTGCAAACGTAAGTGATCCCCTGCCCCAATCAGTGTGTACACCCACATTCATATAAATCTGAGCTGAGTTCTTGAACAAAAGTAACGAGAATGCTAAACTTTGTCTTCATATTATTTCTCCCTTTATTCTACTTTTAAGCATTACCATTTCTTAATCTAACTAGCCTCAAAATATGTCATCAAACACACTCACAGCCACATTAACTCTACATACTAGCAACTCTGAGCAAATATTAACTGAGCTACCACATGGTCTGTAATGAGAACTACAATAAGGAATTCATGAAATACAATTTTTGAGACTTGTAAAGGCTCCAACAGGGAAATATCTTGCCATGTATCTGTGTGCATGTTTTTGTAGCAGATACCTGTTGTTTGTGTCTTGTCTTCCTCTCAGCAACAGAATCCTGACTTGTAACTGGGAGTCAGAACTTCCAGAATAAAATCCACATTTTCTGGAGGTTCTTGCAGCACTGTATGCTCATAGCACCTACCCAGGAGCAAGAGAACACACCAGTTCTCAACATGTGTGTCTAGACCCCTTTGGGGGGGGGTCTTCTATCAGATATCCTGCTGATCAGATATTTATAATTCATAACAGTAGCAAAATTACAATTATGAAGTAGCAACAAAATAATTTTTCTTGGTTTTTCTGAAACAAGGTTTCTCTGTAGCTTTGGAGCCTGTCCTAGAACAAAATAACTTTGTGGTTGGGAGTCACAACATGAGAAACTGTATTAAAGGGTCCAGCATTAGAAAGGTTAAGAACCACTGCCCTAACACATACTATTACCATATTTCTACTTTGGCAGGAGGTACTTATCCCACTGGAAAAACTCCAAAACCATAGATATGGAAATGGAAAAAGCTCAACGGCATAGCATTAGGTTTGCTCTCCCAAACCAGACAAAACAAAGCAAGAAATACATACATGCATCAACCCAGGAACACTTCTAAAATAGTGGAAAGCACAGTAACAGGACAACACAAGATACATGTGAAAAACCACCATGAGCTGGGCGATGGTGGCGCACGCCTTTAGTCCCAGCACTCAGGAGGCAGAGGCAGGCGAATCTGAGTTCAAGACCAGCCTGGTCTACAAGAGCTTGTTCCAGGACAGCCTCCAAAGCCCAAAGAAACCCTGTCTTGAAAAACCAAAAGAAAAAAAAAAAGAAAAACCATCGTGACTGAAGTCAGGAGACAAAGCTCAGCCCAACCCACCCTAGTGACCCTGTAGCCACTGTTCTGACTAGCAGTCTTCATACCTTAGCCCATTTGACATGGTCTAGGATGAGTCCGGTGCTTCCAGGGAAGACCCCCACACTGACTCCTTGTAAGGCCCAGGTTAGCTGTGTTTCCCCCCCCCCCTTTACTCTTCTACCTTCTTAAGCATGTGGATAGAGCATGCACTTGTGTACAGGAGACAATATCAACTGGGTGTAGACAAGTACAGCTTGTTTTTGTCATCAACTGGTTCTGAGGGGAAATGACCCAAGATCATACCCTCATCTCCCACCTCGAGATCCACAGTACATTTGTTTGCTAACATGTACATTCTCAAACCACTGAGGGATCCTGCTGAAGCAATAAGGTTGAGCCTCATGATAAATGTGGCTTCTCCATGGCTCCCTGATCCACTGTTCCTTACAGAAGGCAGAGTAGGCACAAAGCCAAGCCAAGTACCACACACCCAAATTAAACACCACCATCCCTGGGCTCAGGAGGAGCAGAAGGACCCAGAAGAGCTGACTCTTAATTTCTGTTGCAAGACAAATCAAAGTAATGCAGCTTTGCCAGCTTATCTCTTTATGAGCTCCCTTCCCAATATTCTCTCTCTCTCTTTCACTCTCTCTCTCTCTCTCTCTCTCTCTCTCACACACACACACACACACACACACACACACTAGTGCTCTCGCGTGAGCGCATGGCCAATGAATCTGGTCATGGTATCCAAAAGGCCCTTTCCACATTGAAGAAAAAGGGAACTGGAACAACTAACAGCTAGTTCATGGTGCTTTCATAAATAAGCTCTTCCTCAAACCAGCAATGATGAGCAGGGCACTATACATGCTACATCCAGCCCTACTTCAGACAAGGAGGCTGACAGCTCCAGAAGGATCTGACAGACCTCTGCCTCCTTGAACACTGCACTCACTTATATATCCACATGCAGATACACACAATTTAAAAAGGATACATATTTTTAATGAAAAAACAAAAACCTTTATTTCTATCTTCTGGTAGCTTTCATTTGGAGGGTAGGAAGTGCCCTGCCCCCTTCTTTTGAGACTCGCTCTTCAGGAGGAAGCAAAAGAATAAAGTGTACAGGAAGACTGAGCTGTCACCAGGCTCCCTCGGCTCTGCTACAGTCCTGCCCCACCCTGCTGGACTGAGGCACACACACAGGACAAAGACCACATTCCCCAAGTCCACTGTCCTCATTAAGCCAAGCACTACTGACCATACACTACTCAACTATTCCCCCACTATCCTGACGGCAGAAAAGCTTTTCTGTAAAACACACACCTGCTGATGCTTTGCCTTAGTTGTCAGAGGACCCCTTCATGGGGCCAGCACCCAGGGTATTTTCTAGCAATTTCTGAGTAAGGATCCATCCTTCCCAAATTTCAACCCAGTTCTTCAGACTCAAACTGTGGAGACCTGCTGCTACCAGCCCCAACTACACCCCAACAACTGAATTAGGTGCAAAGTGACACCTGTGATGTCAGGATCTTCAGTACAGTAAGTCATGGGATAGTCATGGGACTGTGTGCTGCCCACCACGCCCTTTAGTCCACTAAGTCAGCCATCTGGAAAAGAAGCCAATAGATAACCTGACATTTGCACAAGACTGAAGATCCCCTTGAGTCTCTCTCAACAATGACATCACAGGGACACAGAACATCGTAGGGACACAGAAGGAAGTAACTTCTAGTGAAACTCTGCTTTAATGCTAGGCCCAGTCGTTCCCATACATAGGACAAAGGGAGGTGGCTAGCTGCTGAGGCACTAAATGCCAACCACAGCAATCTTAGGGGCATGCCACCTCAGAGAATTAACTTTTTTCCTGAAAACAAAGAACAACTTTTTGTAAGGCACTGAAGGAAATCAAATGCACTGCCCTTGCCTTACAAGGTAGTTAAATCCGGGTTTCTGAAAGACTTGGAGCATCTGTTACTATTATGCCAAAGAAAAGCATTATCTTTCTGTGATCAAACACAGGCTATCACAGAGGGATTTTTCCACTACATGAAAACCACACAAGTGGCTAAGTGCCAGACACTTGCCTCCTTACCTGAGAGAAGCAAAGGGTTCCTTCCCACAGATTTCAAAATATCCTTTCTGAGAACTACAAAGCTGCTCCAGGAACCAGGACCACCCCCTCTCTAGTCCTCCTCTCCCTCACTGCTCCTGGCTGGTTTCCAAACTCCAAGTACACTTACCCAGCTCAGAGCCCTTGTGTCAACTGTCCTGGGCTACTAAGAGGCTTCTAGTTCCTCCTCAAACTTGCCAATCTTTCTCTATCATTTCTGCATAAAAGTCATCTGTGAGGTGACAGTTTTGCCTCCTTGGATAGGCACCAGTGCCTACCCATATCACTCAAAAATTGTCGGGATGAACACTCCAATAGCACACATAGGCACAATAAGGCCATCTCCTCCATCTTCCACTAGGCCCCTCACAGGTGACTCCTTATCAGGAGAGCAACGTTGTTTAAAAGTTTTTGTTTTTTTGAGAGACAGGGTTTTTCTGTATTGCTTTGGTGCCTGTCCTGGAACTTGCTCTGTAGACCAGGCTAGCCTCGAACTCACAGAGATCCACCTGCCTCTGCCTCCCAAGTGCTGGGACTAATGGTGTGTGCCACCAATGCCCAGCTTTGTTGTTGTTTTTTTTTTTTTTTTTTTTTTTTTAGACAAGGTTTCTCTGTAAAATAGTCCTGGCTGTCCTAGAACTCAGAGATCGGCCTGCTTCTGCCTCCCGAGCACTAGCATTAAAAGTATGTGCCACTACAGCCTCACAAAAAAAAAAAAAAAAAAAAAAAAAAAAACAACCACACACACATGCCTGCAGAGAGGCTAATTCTGATGACTACTACAGGGCCAACAAGCAATGTTTCATTATTTTAAAACTATACACAAGTGTGCTTCTGTGTGAACATTCCTACACCAGAAACATCTAGAGACTCAGGTGTGCAGACCTGAGAACTGAAGGTAAAGCCATAGAGGAAGCAAGATGTCCATCAAACCTACCTCAAGAACTGCTAGCTCTAAGCACACAGTTCAGCTGATCACCTCGGTATGTCCAAAGTCTGATATGACCTTAACAGAAGAGAAATGTTAAAAGCTGAAAATAACACCAAGCAAAAGTTCACCACCAAAGTCACTGGAAAACAGAGTATTTTAAATATAAGCTCTTGGAATCAAACAAGGAAGAAGAGCATTCTTGTCTACACAACAGGAAGCTTCAGAGGAACACATATTTCAGGCCTTCTAGCTTTGCTTTCATTCTCATTCTTCAGCGATGACTCTCACTAAAATCTAGAGACTTTTTTCTTGGAAATAAGCACCTAAATCATGTCAACAGAATTAAAACTTTAAAAAAAAAAAAAAAAAAGGAGGGGGAAAAAAGGAAAACTTGTCAGAGAACATATAGAGGATCTGTGCCACAAACTTCCCTGTTTCAGTATATGCCATTGCAAAAATATTTTGACAACTGATACTGACAATAAGTTATTGTTTAACATAAAGCTATCAAACACAAGGAGTCTTTTGGAAAGAACTAGTTTGCTAGCATCCCTTTAACAGGTATACTTACCTCTATAGATACTGATTAAGGTTTCCTTAATAACCAAGTTCCACTCACTCATGTTAAACTGTAGCAGTTATCAAAGCCTCAGAAATATGGGGAGCTGTTTACCACATAAAGTTAATCACCCCCAACTGCAATCTATAAAAATATGCCTGCCTAGCACGGGGGCACACATCTGTAATCCCAGCAGGTTGTAATCTCCGGGGACTGAGGCAGGAGTTTAGGGCTAACTTGTACGATACAGTCAAACTCTTCCCCATAAACAGCCTATGTCCTATTCTCTGTCAATTCCCCTCATCACTTAAAACTTTCCCTATTATCAGGGCCTGCAGGGAGTGCTACTCTTCCTAGTATAATGGCTACTGACAGGCAGCCAAGCCCTGTGACCAATGTGAGTAAAAAAAATCAGGGAACAGATCAGGTAAAAACGTTGTAGAAGTTGGGCCCTAACTAGTAAGTAGTTCTTTGCATCTGTAGCAGGACAGAGTGGTGAACACCTAAAAGATCCTACACTAACAAGTTTTCCAGGCAACCAGGCCAGTTGGCCCCAACTGAGAAGGCTGAGTTACCCTTCAGTACACTGACAAGCAACACCACAAGCTATTACCTGTAATCTGTATCACAATCAAACCTCAGTGTGTAGTGAGGAATCCCAATACATGTGTACACACACACACACAGCTATCCTTTACTTCTTAGCAGACAATGTCAAATCTTTTTCAGTAGTAGATACACCATACACATAAAAAGATGCTCTTAATGTCAGATCTTAACACAAAGGGATTTTCATGTTTCCTCACCATCACTGACAATTTCATGAAGGTCAAAGGCAGAGGCAGATCGATCTCTGTGAGTTCGAGGCCAGCCTGATCTACAGAACAAGTTCCAGGACAACCTCCAAAGCAATAGAGAAACCCTGTCTCAAAAAACCAAAAAGCCAAAGGGATTTATAAGAGGCAACAGGACAGAGAGACCATGAATGACATAGCAACCTAGAGCAGGCTGGGGTCTGATGGGTTCCTAAGTGCAAATAACACACATAGACAGCCCTTGTGATTAAGCGTAGATTTAAACCTGCACATGAGGCTGGGCAGTGGTGGCTTAGCCTTTAATCCCAGAACTAGGGAGGCAGAAGCAGACAGATCTGAGTTTGAGGGCAGCCTGATCTACAGAGACAGTCAGGGATACACAGAGAAACCTTATCTCAAAAAAAAAAAAAAAAAAGGAAACCACCCCCCCACATCAATGTAACATTTAATTCAAAGAATCTGAAAAATATTGACCCAACACTCAAACCATTGTTAACAAGCTATTGCAGGAACCTGCACAACAAGTTTTTTCTCTTAGTTAGGTTGCCTGACACTGGGTCACCACAGTAACTGCTAGTCTAATTTACCTTTACCTAAAAAAAAAAAAAAAAAAAAAAAAAAAAAGTTGTAGTTTGAAACCTCTCTAGTCCTGGGCAGAGGCAGCAACCCAATCAATGGAGCAAAGATTCAGAGCATCTTGTAGAGATTTCCTCTCTACAAGGAATTATTTGTACAGGAGGTATATAGTGGGCATCTCAGCTACCTGACTTACAATCAGAACTGTATGTGAGGGGCACAGAACTAGTTGTTGCTATCTTCCTTCCAGGATAAGTAGACTGAGTATGAGTCAGCTGTTATTCACAGTTAGTCCTTGTGTGTGCAGTGTTGGAGAGGGCAAACCATTTATACAAGCTAGGAAAAGCACTCTACCACTAGCTCTTAAATCTTTCTGAAGTAACAATTCTGTACATCTGCTTCATAAGCAAGAAAACAGTGTGGTGATCCAATGACTCAGACTCATTTTCAACAAGATACCTAAGGATAAAAGTGACAAAGGTTAACAGAAACCTTCATGCCAAGGAGACAATGCAGCTCCAACAATGTAGCTCACAAATCTGTGACTGGCCCTTACACCACACAACATTGAAGAAACAGAGAAATCAAGTAGTAACACTGTTCATCAAATCTCACAGTCCAGGCTATTTGTGACAGTGCTGCTGAAAGCTCAAAGGAGAGGACATTACAGGCAGTCACCCATGCCTGACACTGGTTAAGACAAGAAAAGGGACATGGAGCCAGCACATAAAGCACCATGGCATCTCACTAGTCTTCTGTCTGACACTCACTGCAGAATCAGCCCGCAGGAAAAACTGCTGACCACTAGTTGTGAAACTAGAACTACAACGGACTACTCCAACATTGGTTGTGGCATCAACTACTGGGCTCTCTGGTGACTTCTGGGAGCAGGAGTAGCTGCCCCTTTCTTTTCCAGCAAAACAGCCACTTGCTGGAAGGGAGAAATCCTCCTTGATGAGAGCAGATTCCCTAGCACTTAGGTACCACACAAGGGGCATGGCCACCCTGACTGGACAGCCAGAACTATATACTGGACCTGGCCTCCGTTACAAGCAGATTACTCAGAGACTGGGACCAGGTTGCTCCACCGCCAGGTTAAAAATTCCCCAACTCAGAAGGACCCTTCTAATCCAGGAGGTCAGTCAAGAGGTGAAACAAGGCTCAACTCCTGCAGAGGCCACGGGGCCCTTGAGTGCACACCTCAATGAAAATCTCACCAGAGAAGTGTGGGGCACAAATCACGGCTCACTGGAGATCACAGTGGACACTTGGGATCCCCTAATATCCTCAAATGCTCTTGTCAAACCCAGGCACCCGGTTCAGCAGTCCGGAGCCCCTACCCACCTGCCCTGTCCCTTCACCTCCCACAACTCCGGTCCTCCGGGCCGACAGGAACCGGACTCGAGAAAGAGGAGGAAGACCTCGCCACCCGAGTGACCTTGACGCCGTCTCAGGGCCACCCAAGCCTCAGTTTCCCCCGCCCCAAGGTCCGTGCCGTGTCTGAAGCTGCCGGCTAGCCCTTCTAGAAGGGAGACCCGGTGTCCCCCGAGCCCTGCTCCCCGTTCCCGAGCTCCCGGGCCGTGGAGCCTAGGAGAGGCGCAGAGAGGAACAGCAGGAAACCTGGCTTCCTGGAGAGGAGCCGGCGTCCCGGCCGGACTTCCGGGCTGCGGCCCGCGGCGGGCGGCCAGGCGTATGGGCCGCGGAGTGGGGGAGGGCCAAGCGGCCGTGGGCGACGCGGGACTGGGGGAGCCCCGATCCTCTGCCCGGCCTGCCGTCAGGTCCTGGACACAGATCCCGGCCCGCCCGACCAGACTCGGCCCTTAGCAGCTTGAACCGAGCACCCCTCGACGCCCACGATGACCAGCCCGTGGCCTCCCCAGCTTTGGCCCCAGCGCGCCCCGCGCCTCACCTCCGCGGCGGCTGCTCCCAGCCAGGCGTTGGTTTCGCTCCCACAAGATGGCGGCGCTGACGGCAGCCACGTCAGCGCCTGCCGCGGGGCACGCCGGGGGAAGAGGGCGGGCACGCCTGAGGCCCCGCCCCTAGGTAAATTGCGCTTGCGCGTCTACACTAAGTAGCCTTCGCGGGGCGGGGCCAAAGGTGCACTGCTTCCGGATCGCGGCCCCGGGCTAGCACACACCGGTTCTCCGAACTAGAACGCGCAAGGGTGTGGTGTGTGGATTTCCGTGTCCATCGACGCGTGCGCACGCGCGCCTTCCTGCGGAATTCCTGCCCATTCCGCGGATGCGGGGGTTGAGGAAAGTAAGAGTTCGAGAGCGCCAAGGTCAGAGTAGGAAGGTCGTTTCAGCGCTGAGGGGGTGTATGTGATGTTCCTCTCAGAGGCATCCAGAATCTCTGATATTCCAGCTGGCCCTGGGCTCTGAAGATAATGATGTGACTGACAGGTAGCCAGAGCGGAAAGAGGCGCAGACCAAGTGTCAGATAGGCACCATGCCCCTACACTGGCCTTGTCCCTGTGTGCACCCTCAGAGCTGACCCAGAGAACCGAAGACTTGCGTGGAGTTAGCACTGCCTGAGAGGGCACGCTAGGTTGCTCCTGATAGGGTGGCCTCCTGAAGGGTGCAGGTGAGGAGGAACCTGTTACATCTCCCTGAGAATCCTTCCCTGCCTGATCAGAAGCAACAGCAACTTGCGTGCCTTCCCATCTGTACAGAAATCAGACCCATGCTGTCAAACCTGTCCAGGTTTTCCACCTCATTTGTTGTGAGGAATCCTACAGGCAAGAGATGCTGAGGGACCTAGGCTTTTTTTTTTTTTTTTTTTTTTTTTTTTTTTTTTTCCCTTTCCTTAACCTGGAGCCCTACCTGTTGAGTTGTCAGGAGACAGTTCTGACCTGGACCTAGATCAGTCGCTCTGTGTCCAGGCATCCTCGCTGTATTTTGGGGGTTGAGACCTCCAGACCTTTCTCTTGGAGTTGTGGGTGCTAAACTTGTCAGGGTTCTAGGAAATAGTCACCTTCTTGGTCCTAAACACACCCCTTTCCACCACTCAGGGCTCCTTTCCTTTTCTTTTGGTTTTTCTAGACAGGGTTTCTGCATAGCCCTGGCTGTCCTGGAACTCACTCTGTAGATCAGGCTGGCCTTGCACTCAGAAACATGTCTGCCTCTGCCTCCCACATACTGGGGTTAAAGGTGTGCGCCACCACCTGGCTTCAGAGTTCCATTTTTAGGTGCCACTTCTGTACATTTCTATGGGGATAACTGCCTGATCTCCCACCCTCAACACACAGCAAGTATTCATTTAAAGCAAAGCCTTGGATGGTGCTGGCTCTTTATACCCTGGAGAAATGGCAGGACATCCCCCTGAGGCCTGTGATCCCAGCCATATAAGAAGCCTGTCACAACTACTTTACAGATGAGGAGACAAAGTGTCGAGGAAAACCACAGGTTACCAATCAAGAACAAACTTTTTCTGTTCCTAAACAGACAAAATTGCGGCAAAATAGAGGGTGGTAGTCCCTCCATTTATCCTAAGCTGGCGACTGTACTTTCTAGTCATGCCCAAAAGCTCACTATGTACCCTGTAAAATAATTACTTGTGTCAATTAAAAACTTAAATAGCCATTGTAGATACTTAATAATGTGCAATGGATAATAGGCTCTCCCCACCTCCCCAGGTCAGGTTTAAACCTCCAGTGAAGTTTTCATAAACTTAGAGTGTTGAATTGTATATCCACTTAATTATATATATATATATATATATTTGTATATCCACTTAATTATATATATATATATATCTTTTTTAAGATTTTATGTATGTGAGTGCCTGCAAATATGTATGTATACCACACGAGTGCCTGGTGCCCAAGGATGCCAGAAGAGAGAGACAGATCCATTGGAACTGGAGTTAAAGATGTTTATGAGTTGCCATGTAGGTTCTGGGAAACAAACTCAAGGCCTCTACAAGAGCATTAAGTAGTCTTATGCAGAGAACCATCTCTCCAGCCCCAAGTGTATATTAAAAAGGAAATTGGACAACTGAGCTGAAGAGATTGCTCAGTCCTTAAGAGGACATACTGCTCTGACAAAGGACCCAAGTTCTGTCCCCAACACCCAACTGCCTATAACTCCAGTTCTGGGCGGGGGGGGGGGGGGGGGGGTCTGATGCCTCTGGCCTCCACAAGCATCTGCACTCACCTTCACACACATACAATTAAAAAGTATCTTTTAAAATAATAAAAGACCCCATTACAGATATTGGGGTTCAAGCTGAAGATAAGAAAAGCAGCCATCTAGCTCTTACCTCTACCTCAGACCAAAATGGGTGATTCTGTCTCCATGAATCCTGAGTATAATGCAGATTGCACTGCTCTCCCACCAAGCCTCAGACTGCAATCCTTTGAGTTCCTGTCTCCTCCTGCCTTATTTCTTTCTCTGCCCAGCCACATCACTCCTGTCTCTACCTCCCTAGTGCTGGGATTAAATGTGTATGATCCCAAGTGCTGAAATCACCTTTGTGTGAGCTGTTTCTCTTTTAGACTGAATTAATTTCAAGTAGCTCAGTGTAGCCTTGAGCTAACAGAGATCCATCTGCCTCTGTCTCCCTAGTCCTGGGATTAAAGGTGTGTACCATCACCTCCTGGCCTCTATAGCTAGCTAATATGGCTGCTGGAATTAAAGATGTGTATCACCACTGCCTGGCTCTTGCTGTAGCTAACTTTGCATTTTGATCTCGAGTTGCTTTATTAGATCGTAAGCAATATATCACCACAAAAATTTTAAATAAAATCTTCACTTTTTTAAAAAATAAAATATTCAAAAAAATTTAAGGAAATAGAAATCCAAAAAAAAAACTTTATTTTTTGGGGGGAGCTAGAATTTAGTAAAATGAAAAAATGGAGAGACAGGATGGGGTTTATGTAAGATACAGTTTTGTAAATGATAAACAGATTGCTGTATGCCCACTCCCAAGTTAAGAAACATACTTCTTTCTTTCATCTGTGCTTCTGTTTTGGACCCTCTCCCAGTGGGAGGGAGTGGGGGTGGGGGGAAGAACGGGCATACATATCTGTGGGAGTCCTGAGTGGGCATGTCTGAGCACAGACACTACCAGGAAATGTCAGTTGCTTGGGTAAACTGAGGCTAACTCCTCCACAAGGTTGCTTGGGGCCAGGAGTCCCTTTTCCTCACTGAGGTCCCTGCATGGACCAGCTATGGCCAGGAGGGGGCGAAGTGAGCTGACTGAAAGAAGGTATTCATGTGGAGGTCCAGGATCCTCAGCTACCTGTATACTAGGAAGCTAGGAGTGAGTGCCTATGGCACCTCACCTCCCCTTCAGCTGATCATACACCGTGGCAAAGTCCAGGCCCTTCCCTTTAGACCAACCTACTCCTGAGGACTAGTCAAAGGCATGGATGACAAGTGGACTGGCTTCTTGTTCTCCAGGTTGCTAGAGAGACAACCTTATCTAGAGTAAGGACCAAAGACAGGAATGAACTTAGGAGGCAAGACCCAGTGGGAGGTGAAAGGAACTCTGCCTTGAGGACCCCTTCCTGTCCCCCAAACAGTTTGTTCAGCCTCTATGTAAGATGGGTGTCATTCATGTCAGGCTACTGATGCCTAGAAATGTAGATATATATACTACACATACACACACACACACACACACACACACACACACACACCCCTTAGGTAGAGCCCACTGATAAGGAATTTAACCTCCTCGTTTGACTATTTCCAGCCCTGTGGCTCTTACCTTGGTCCCTCAGGACTCAGGTACTTTGGTTCTGTTACGGACTACATTGTTCTCCGGGATTCCTATGGGACCCCATCATAGGATTCCCAAGGAGCTCACCCTGGGAGGTTTTATACACTGGGCAGATTAGAGTGCATCTGCAAGATTCCCTGATCTACTCTGCCTGCCCTCAATCTCTCCAAAGCCCTTCCCAGCAGGCATCTCTGAGCAGGCTAACTGGCTGAAAAAGTAACTTCCCAGTACCTTTAGGGCTATTCTGCACGGCATTGAGTCTCGTTTGGACTCCGCTTGGTATTTTGACTTATGTTCAACATGCTCATACAATGAAAACTCTGGACCTCTAGTAAAGAGGAACTTTACTCCCTTAATGACTTCCCCAGAGGGAGAGATACAGGGAGAGTCCTGCCCTTCCCTAATTCATTGCTTTTATTGTTTTGTGTGAGACAGAGTTTCTTTGTTTATCTCTGACTATCCTAGAATTTGATATGTAGATCTGGCTGGCTTTGAACTCATAGAGCTCCATCTGCCTCTGCCTCCCAAGTGCTGGGATTAAAGGTGTGGACCCCCAAACCCAGCTTTTCCCCTAATTCTTATCCCACTTCTTTTTCCAGGCTTGGAAATTGAGGGGACAAAATGTTTTTCTTTTTTCTAGAATATAGTTCCTGAAATCCTGGGAATCTGGAAGTGAAGTGTATTCTATGTGCTGATGAACTCTCTGCTGGTCAGCAGCTCCTAGATAGCACCCAGGTAGGGCTGGTCACTGAAAGACCAGGGCTGAATCAGAGGGTGGGGACCCTCAGTCTCATCTCAGCCCCCAGGGAAGGAAAAAGGGCTGAAGGTTAAGGGGCTCACTGACGGCCAGTGGTTTAACCAATCACCCCATGTAATGAAATGTCTATAAAACCCCTAGAGACTCATTCACAGGGAGGACATGGAAGCCTCGCCCCTTCCACATACCTGACCTCTTAATATCTTCATCTGAATGAATCCTTGCTAAGAATTCTCATGGTGAACCAATCACAAGTTCTGTGAGCTGTTTGATCAATGCAACCCAAGGAAGGGTCGAGGGAGCTGGTTTATAACCACAGGACATCAGAATAGAAGGAAATGCACCCTGGGCCTACTTCAACACTGAAGTGGGGATATCTCAGAATCTGATTCCTGATTTGGCACCCAGAAGCTCTAAGCAGACAGCCCCAGGGCTGACCTAAATTAACATCCTGCTGGTGTCCACTGCTAAGGAACAAACTGCTTTCTGGTGAGCAACAGTCACCACACCTTTGGAGACCCCAGAAGTCTCCTATGCTGACTATGATATGAGACTACAA